TTCATTATTTTGCCTGTCTGGCCCTACTCTTCCGCTATATGCTAACAACTTGCAATTATCTGTAGTATAAAAGAGAAGAATGTGAATTTATCTGGCAGACTTAAAGACTTGCAGCAATGCATCATTAAAATCAAAACTGCATTCCCTGAAAACCAAACAATTTTAATGTAAATATTTAAAAGTCATACTCAAGTGTATGTAAAAGCCATCCCACTCCGCTGGCGGCCTCATAATGAGCTCTTTAACTTCGTTAACGATACCTCGAGTCCAGGTCCTGTCAGCCAGCTAAAAATAGTGTTTTGTAATGGGCTGACTGAGGCTCGGCTCAATTCATTTTATGTTTCTGTTTTTTGCAAGCCTTGCCTTCTACAATTTGTACGGGCGCCAAGCGGCTGGTTGAAAAAAGAAAAGCAAAAACACAAAGTTGTAGCGAGGCAACAACTACAACGACTGCAAAACTTGTTGCCTGCTTTAATGCATCAATTAAATTTTTTAATTATTTTTGCTATGGCTTTTTGTTCCTGCTCCTGTCAGCTACATGCTGCGCTTTTTGCACAATTTCCCGGCCGTGGCATCTTTTCAAGCCGCTTGTACGAGTCGAATATTTTTGAAAGCCGTCACTTGCCTTCACTGACGACAGCGACGTGTGTTTATTGATATGTTTTCATTATTGAATTAGTTTTAATAAAAAATGAAGTCAATTAAGTCAACAAGTTACTAAACCGTCTTGAATTGTGCAGCTTATGGGAATAAGCTCAATTATGTTTAGATATTATTTAAGACAAAATTAAGACAAAAATCATTATAAATATATAAGTTTGTCATCTCAATTTTAAAATGTCCAATAAAAGATATAAAATAAAATTCACATTTGTTCTTAATTAGATTTTATGCCTCTCTCTGACATATTAACCGATATTTTACTATCGGTCATAAATTAATAAGCTGTAAAACTGTTGGAGCATTTCCGTTTGTCGTACGAAGCAAGTTCGTCGTCTAAGTCATTTGTTTAAACCCAAAGCAGACAAAATGACTGAACCTGAGCCACGCAACAGCGCATTTGACGCATTCACGCATCGCCTGCCAAAATAATTGTACGGCACTACAAAAAAAAAAAATAATAATAAAATAAACAAAGACAACATTTGCTTGAAGTAATAAAGTAAAATTTGTGTTTGCTCGGAGTGAGCACAAAAATAATTTTGTTTGTTGTAATCAACACCCGCCTTTCGTAGAGTTGGAGAAGAGCAGCCGCAGACATTAAGTGTGCATGACATTAAATTAGCGCAGCAATCAAGCACTATGAGTTACAACAACAAAAGCAACAACAGAAGCATCACAACAAAATGTGGCCTGTAATCAAATTAAAAGAACAACAGAAGCTACGCTGAAAACTTTGTGGAAATCCCTGAGAAGGGAAACTTTTGCTTAGCAATTAGTTACAGCACATGATTTTTATATGTTTATTTTTTTAATATATACGTACAAAATTCTTTAGATTCGGACACATTAGGCAGACATGCCCGAATTGTGAAACCCATGCATAAGAAAAATTATTTTGAGCGGTAAATGAATGATATGGCATTCTCCTAATAAAATAAACAGGACACGCTGTTCTGTCAGACAATAACTCACAAATAAGAAAACCTGCAAACTTGTTATGCAACATTTTCTCTTTCATTGGATGCATTTACTTCAGCAACTTTCAGTAACCAACATTTTTTACGGCACTTTGGAGACAAATTAAACTTTTTTTTTTATATTTACTGACAATTTTGAATCTAAGTGAAAATAATAATGTTTGGAACAATTTTAATAATAATATAATATAATATAATATAATATAATATAATATAATATTATAGAAATCAATACATTATGAGTAAGATAACATATATGATCTAACTAATTTACATTCGTAGTCAGTTAAGTATAAAACTACGGAAGTAATCAAAAATACTTCTTTTAGATTCTAAATGTTCCTATCAAGAAATTAATAAATAAAAAATATAAAACTAAAGCAAAAACTTTATACATTTGAAGGTTTATAAATACTAGAGTGAACAAAATTAGCTGTTCTAGATATAGTAATGTATATTTATCGGTTACATTTTTATTATTAATTAATTTTATGGATTTTAATGGGTTAAAGTGTTTTGGAAGTGTATACAAATCAGGGTTTTTTCTTTAGTTAGCTGTGGTTTTTTGTCATCAGATCTTCGGCAAATCCGACTGTTGGCATTGACTGCAGGCATCTTGGACTTCTCAATATGACAATTCTTAATATTCTGATGCCGACAGCAAGTGGTTTCTGCAACTTTTTCTGTTGTCCAAAGACGGCAGACGCTGTGAGTCCGACTGTCATAAAGCAGCACGTTTTAGTTATAGTTGGAGAATCTCAACAATTTTAAAAGTGTGCATTTATGCCAAGTGGCATCTGCAACGGCGTCGGGCGGCCTCGGCCTCAGACTCAGACACAGTTGCAGTTGTAGTTGGAGTTGACGCTGAAGTTGTCTTTGCAATTTTCGATGTTGCCGTTCACCGGTTTCCTCCCTGCCGGCAGTGCGTTTATTAATTAGCAGCCGTCCCGATCCAGACACACACACACTGCAGACAGAGATTTACCTGTAAGTGCAGGAGCACACAGACTAAGCCAAGCAAACACACTTGTGCATTTTTTTCTCAACTAAAAATCAGAAACATCAGTTCAATCGTCTTGATTGATGAAGCTGCTGTGGTCAGTCAGGAAAAATAAATTATTTAAAGGCCTGCAACAGGTTCGCCTTTTTTACCAGCAGTCGTAACTCTGGTTGGCTTGCTTAGATTTATGTCCGGCCTCAGCGAGGGTGTGTCTATAGTTGGTTGCAAATTCAGCAAATAAATATGTAATGATAACTTTCATTTTATTAGCATAGATGTTCAGTTAATCTGCGCCTAGGTATTCCAAATGTACAGTTAAGACAAATGTTTTGCTTGTTCGCTAGGCTCAGCCAAAGACCGTCAGTCCTTCCTTGAACCTAATACTTCTTATAAAGGCAGCTGCTTCCGTGCACATAGACGCATCCATTCTTGTGATTTAATCCAGCGCAACTAATAAGCCACAAACTGCTGACTTAAATCCTTTTTTTGTTGTTTGCCCTTAGCTGAAAGCGGCTACATTGGTTTAGGGCCAAGATGCTTTGCTCATAAATCAAGACAATAATGAGGAAACGCCCCACGCGCACACATTGCGTAGCCACACCTTGAAAAAATAAGCAAAAGGATTAAATTTTCTTAGGCCAAAGGGGCAACCGAAATCCAAGTGTATACTCCTTCTTTGTTGTTTTCAGGATCAAATCCTTTCCGCTGCCTACACACATAGCCACAAAGAACAGGAGACAAGACAGGCAGTTTAGCCTACTGCTGGTCCGCAATTACAATCTTCAAGGTATAAGCGCTGACATGCAGCATCTTTTTCTTCACATCCCTTTCGATTGTCTTAAAAAGAAAAAATAAAAAAACGCAGCATGCTCTAATTCCCCAATGCTACCCCCAAGTCTAGGTCGGCATTTAAACGCGCGTGCGCTACAACAATGTCGGGCCAACCATCGTCATCGTCTTGGCACTTAAGCCCAGGGCATGCTGAACCCTCAAGGCGCATTCATCTGGCAGTCTATTTTCGTTGCAGCTATTTTTCGGAAATTAAAATGTCTACTCCTACTATTTGTCTGCGAGGGTTCCGACTCCGTTTTTTTAGGTATCCCATCAACTACAACTATCTATCACATGCTGCTGCTATCCCCGTCCCTGGCGATGATGAATGTGCGCGTTCGGCGTCCCTAATTCAATTTATCTTAGACAAGACAAAGTCATCATTTGTGCATAGCTCACAATGGATATAATGGTTTTCACTTAACCCAATGCGTCTTAGAAAGCAAACTTTATTCAAGTTGATCATCAGCTGTCCTTCGATTGTTTTTTATTCGATTGTTAACGTTTTCAAGGCAAAAAATATTCTTGCACTATGCGTACTGGAATTGAGAAGCTTAAACAGGATCAAGGCATCTTATCTTAAATATGTTTTTATTTTCACCAAAATCTAATTTCAGTTTTTAAAATTGATTTTTGACGCACCTGAAAATCGATTTTATCGAAGGGAATTCGTATTCGATCCTATGATTTCCGAACTTGAGTCAAAGTAATGAAATAAGTCATCGAATGAGTCGACTTTTCGACAGAGATTATAGAATTTCTTATTTTTTTTAGATATAGTGTCCTTTTATTTTTAATCAGGGTATCAGACCGGAATTGAAACCACATGCTTAACAATCGAGATCCAAAATCGAAATACTTGTTTAAAAACAAATACCGGAACTGATTTTATTTGCCCAAATACATCGGATCACATTGGTCGATCCCGTTAAATATGTTTTGTGATGCATGTGAATTTTATGGCTATGAGTTATACCTACGTGAACTTATATTCGAAATATAATGTCTCGAAGTATAGTAAAAATCACGAATAACGCAATTTAAAAAATGATGCAATCTTAATAGGAATATTTTTACTTTACGAACCAGAATAAGAGCATAATTTTGTGTTGGCTTGATAACCTACTTTCAATGAAATATACAAAAATAGCGTTAACTTAATGCAGTGCCGATAAATTGAACAATTTGTATGAACAAATATGAACACTGAAATATGTAAACTGAAATATTATTTTTTTTTTCTGTTAGGTGACCACATACTGCGGAGACTTATTATACTTATTGAGACTCAGTTATGCTCCATCTTACCAGATTCTGCGTGACTTCAACTGCATTTATCCAAGAACTTCCAAGTACAATCCATTTGTTTTATGAAGGATAGATACTCCTATAAATTACCGAGATATTTTGACACGCAAACCATTTTGAAAATTGTAAGATTCTATATATTTGAATCACATTTGCAGTTATCAAATTTGCAGCTAATTTAAGACTGGGAAAACTGAAGAACATTTAAAACAAATGAATAATATTTTAAAATCATACATTTTATTAAACTTGTCATGAGTTGTTAAATCTTTTCAAACTAAGCTGAGAGGTATAAATGCTATTAACAAAGACTGCATCACAAATTAGGCATATGCTCCTTGTGAATACGTTCGCAATGGAATTGTCTAAGTTAATCGAGTATTCCGGCGCCACGTTCACCATGCGATGTGGGGCTGGGCGCACGGCTGGTGGCCGGACTGCTGGCTGGCGGAGTGTCATCCGGACTGCGGCCAAGCGGTACCAGCAGTGGGCCCATAGGTCGACGCGCTCGAGGTGCGCCGCGTGATCCTCGGCTAACTGGCATCGATGTCTTCGAGCGTGGGCGTCCTGGTCCGCGTTTGGCCAATGAGGCAGGTGGGGTGCTCATTGTGCTCGGATATGTATCTGTAAAGATACATTTTATGAGCGGAATTAGAAATCATTTTACGACTGGGTGGCTTAACATAATCGTAATTAATGTTAATGAACGTTAGGCTGGCGCATACCTTACTATATACTACAAATGGAAATGGCAACATTGTCGCTAATGCTCCTGTCGCTTGCGTCCGCACGTTTTGGGCACGTCCTGCTGCCTCATCTGCATTTTTGCAAACAATGTTGCATTCTTTTGGGCGCACCAGTTGTGGTTTTCTTTAATTGCCAACCAAGCCCATATCGACACCAATGCCCTCGTACAGCGTACTCAATGGCACTTATGCAACATTATGCTAAAATACCCTATTAACAGGGTTACAACGGGTTATGTACTGTTCATTTTATTAAATGAATTATTTTATTTGTTTATATGGCATCTATGTACATGTATATAAGTCCGTCCGCTTTTTTCATATTAACTATGCATCGATTGATAGCAGCGTTTAAATGCCAATGCATCTATACATAACAGATTATATTAAAGATAATTCTGAATCGATTGATATTCACATATAAATGCAGGAATCTATACTTATTTGGTACAGAGCAGCTCAAAGTCGATCAATCACTTGTTTCTCTTGTTTTTGCTTTTGTGATTATGACTGCATTTAGCAGAGAGAGGTTTAATTCCGTCACGTGTTGTCTGGCGCTGCCAGTAGCATACGCGTTCTCCCCTTAACAGCCGGCACACACAAACACACACATGTACAAACGTGAACACACATCATCATTTCGGCTGCGGGTCTGAGCATTTAAGCCGATTTATTCAATTATCATTTGTCGTACAAATTTGACATGTGCGCTAACGTGTTTTTAACTGAAAATTCGATTGGAAGTTGCACCAATTCGTTGGCAAATTTCCATTGAATTTGCCTGCTGGTTGCATTAATTTTCGGCTTTAAGAGTGAGCAGCTGTTTGCATAATTTAAAAGCGGCGGGCTGCTAATTAGTACTTGTGAATATCGGCTGTGTAGAAATTATTATTAATTCACTAAACGATTGAAACGTGCCTGGGTAATTATCTAAAGCATTACTTATTCGGTAATTGAATTGTATTCGAAAGATATAACGTAAAGAAACAAGAATGCCATTACATCGAATAAAAAACAAAAACTTTCTTGGGGTTCGTTATTTTAATGTATACATTGCAGATATATCATCCGAACAAGGAATAATTATTTTTTATTTAGATAAGGATGCTATCAATCAACGCTGGCAAGATTTCCAAATGCACACCTACTCAAGAGGGCTTCAATAAAAGGCACTTAGGAAGTACTTTGGAATGCCGCCAAGCAGACGATAAAACACTATTAATATTAACAGAGCCGGGGGCTGTTTCTGCTTCAGTTCCTGTTTGTACATCAGCGTAATGCAGCCAGATGCAAATCTTTGAACAAATATTTGGCCTGACTGCGTGAAGTGCGAGCACACCGAATATCAGCTAAAAGGGAACAGCAAATGCCAATGAATCTGATGATATAATGAAAGTGGTTTGTGCTGTGCCAAAATTGTCACGTACTACAAGTGAAGTTCTCTCTCCCACCCCTCCCACACTCAACCCCTACAGAAAAATGCGGGCAGCCAAAAATGAAAAAGGCGGCAGCGACCACAAAGTGCCACTCAAGTGTGCCCAATTGTTGCCAGAGATGCAGCATACATGTGTGTGAGTGAGTATGTAAAGAGGCAACGAAAAACGTGATTATGTCGGCGATTAGCGACAAGTGACACTCGAGACCATGTAGACGGCGTAGGGGGAAGTACCAGGAAGAAGCCGATCAACAAAACAGACACTGGCTGCACTTACCTTCTTCGAGCAGAAGTACGGAAGGGCCACTTGCAGCCTCGCCACTGACTACTTCCTGCTGCGGTAACGGTGATGTGGTCGTTCCACCAACAGTCGGCAATGTTGGCGTCGGCACGCGCTGCAGCGATCCATGGCCACCACCGCGTCTTGTGCTGCCACGTGGTCGTCCTCGCCTTGCACCACGAGTGTGGTGACGCCGCCGCACCGACGGCATACTATCAAAATCGCCCAGGAAGTCTGCAAGAAAAGAATAATGGGTTTTTATTGGGGTATTTATACTATGCCAATACCAAAGCCAAAAATTGTATATTCGTCTGCCTGTCTATCTTAAGTTGTTGCAGTTGTCAAGCTAGTCACGAAAAATTTAATTTTGGCTTATAGCTTCATCAAATATAAGTTTTTCCGCAAATCGCCAAAATGATGAAATATCTTAGGAGTTTTAAAAACACTCACTTTGGGTAGTGTTTCAGAATTACAACATCTTCGTCGCAATTTAAGAGTCAATTATTGTAATCAATAAGGCTCTTTTCAGCTGCTAGGACATTTATCAGTAGTTAAGATTCGAATGCAACATTCTTTATTGTTGGTTTTTTATGCGGTTTCGATAAAGCAATTGGCACAAAGCAACCACCATTAAAACAATCAAAGCTCGCAGTAAACACAATAAAAGAAGGAAAACTTATACACTATTGCTGAAATGTTGTTTAATTTACTTGCAAATTAATCTAATTTTGAGCTATAAAAATTCAGTTCAACGACAGTAATTATTTATATTAATTTTGTATAATTATGCAATTCTTTACTAAGGATAGTTATGAAGAAACTTTATGGATACTTATTATTTGACATTAGTAACTGAATATTGACATTATTATCCTGTAGCTATTTAATAATAATTCTGATTAAAGAAACTAATTATTAGATATATTCTGGTACCTGTATAAAAGTGCCATTGAACTAATTGGCAAAAATGTGTTAACATAATTACTAAATAGATAATACATTGTATTGACATTATATATTGACAGAACTCAACTTAGTCAAAATTAAGCTGCTGCTACATAAAAAATAGAATCGAAATTGAAAAAGTTGTCTTTTTTTTTTATAAATAGTTTATAAATATTCAAAAAAAGGCATGAAATTATAACGTTTTTTTTTTAATAATAAAATATGAATATTTAAAACTAATATAAGTAAGAAAAAAATGTAATGTGAGAGTTCTGTGGAGTACTTTGGAAAATACACTTTTTATACGTTGATACCGAAGATAGAGACTTGAAACGTGCAGCACATACTGGTATGTACCCGCGTCAGATAAAGTATACACATTGGAGTGATACGTCCACCAGGGGGCCAGGAAATCGATATTCGCAAATCGATAAGGCCACATATCTCCCACAATTTTAAGGCTACAGTCACCAAATTTGCTTAGAAGGTTGTTGGCGATGTTCTTCAAAAATATGCATATGCCACGCCCACCTCCGCCGCCACCAGGCTCCGCCTCTAAAAATTATAAATGGCTATATCTTTCGCACTTATTGAGTTAGAGCTGTGAAATTAGGTATGTTACTTGTAGCCGCCTTCAAGAACCTGCGCCCGTAATCGCCAATGTGGATGTTTCGGGAAGTGTAAATCGATAAACTCGCATATCTCCCACAATTTTAAAGGTAGAGTGACCAAAGTTGGAAGGAAACTTGACGGTAATCTCCTACAAGGAACGGTACATAATTTTCAGACGGCGTCCACACCCGCCACCCCAGGAACTTCAGCCCTAGAAATCTGAAATGCGCATATCTTCCACAATTCGTATGCTGTCATAAAATTTTAAAAGTATGTTGCTGATAACTCGCCCAAGAGATCGAAAAGAAAACCCAAAGCTATGGTCGCCAAATATGAAAAGTGTATTGCTAGTAACACCCTTAAAAAACCCGGAAAAAAATTTTTGGACCATGACTCCCCCCCCTCACAATTTTAAGGGCACACATCTCCTGCAATTTAAGAGCTACAGTTACCAAAATTGGAACGTAGATTACTAAGATTGTGCTTCAAAATTATTTTTGACATCGCCCACCCACCGCCTCCAAAATGCTCAGAAGCATATATCTCCCACAATTTAATAGCTCAGTTACCAGACTTGGAAGGAAGATTATTAGGAACCTTCTATAATAATTTTTTGGCCACGCCCAATCACGCCCTTAAAATTTCCAAACATCGAAGGATCGTTTGTAGCTTATCTATCGCAGTTTGAAAGGCAAACTTGCACAGTACTCCTTGGCTAGACCCACCCAGTTCTTTGTTATTTATTATCCACTGGAATTACTTATGGGATCAAAGTATTTCCCAGTCGGTTACACCCAACTGCAAAGTTCGCTCTTGTTTTTTCCACATTTTGGAAAAATGTACCCTGAAATAAAAAAAAAGAAAACCCTAGTTTTTAGGTTTTAGAAATTTACTTTTTTAATAATGAAGTGAGTTACCCTTGTCGCAAAAGTCTGACGATTATTTTTCCAGAGTTCAACTTTATCAATCAAAGTGCAATTTCGATTTCTTTGTAATGTAAATATTAATCTAAATTTGAACACTCTATCTCAATCAACATTCAGTCATCACTTTCTCATCGCCAATCACCCACTTAGCTGCACTGCTACTGAAAAGCTAGCTGCAATGCAATGTGTGTCATGACCATATTTGAACTTACGTGATACATTTTCTAGGCACAACACAATCGCAAATTCAAGCAATGGAACAAGTCTAAACTGTGACTCTAGCACCAGGGTTCAAGCACTACAATGTGTGCATATTTTATTTGTCTATTGCAGCTTAAGGAGGTTGGAAGGTTTTTTGTGTTTGGTATTTCTCCCTTTTGCTTTGCTTAACTTGAAGTTAACTGTAAATTGCATAAATAAAACAAACTCAACAAGAATACAAGAGACGGGCTTCAGAAAGCAACTCTAACTAACAACTGATGGCAACAATGTCACTGTTGATTCTGTTGTTGTTACTCTGGTTGTTAACGTTGTTGTTGCTGTTGTCGCAACGACGACATTGCCTGGCGCTTGCTATTTTGGTATGCAATGCAAGTGCAGCAACATCGTTGCATTCACAATCCCGATCAACATCATCATCGTCGTCTCGTCTGGTCTGGCCTGGCCTGGGCAAATCATTATCGACATTGTCTCGTCAGTCGAGTGATCATCATAATCATCATTGGATGCAGGCAACAACCGACAATTGAAGCCGCTTCTCGGTTGGCCCCTTTGTGGCATTGTCAACAACTTTGGTAGACAACTTAAAGCAATTTTTAATGAGACTTCAGCTCGCTTCTAGCCCATCGCTTTAGCTTTTGTTACACTTGCGCCCAAAATCGAGAACGAGTGCCAAATTATTGAATCGCCTGTCTGCCTTGTCTGCTGCCATAAGTTTTATCAATAATATTCAATCCAAGGCAATCGTTTGCCAAACTCAACCCATTCATTGGTAATATTATTTGGGCAATTTGTTATTTTGATTGCTGTAGCTGTTGCTTTTGCTTTACCCATGTATTTCGGCCAAATGTTACGACAAATGTTTGCGACGCTTCTCGGCATTGCAGGCAGAACGAAAAATTGTCTAAAGTTCGCTTTTTAGCATATTTCATTCAGTCATTTCAGCTACCGATTTGGCGCTGGGGTATGCTATGAAACATAAAATCAATCAATATGTCAATTGTTTGGGGTAGTTGGCCCTTAGCTGAATTGTTTCATTTATTCAAGAATACTATTTTTTGTAAGAGAAAATATATTGAAAGTAATTTAAAAGAATAATTTCGAAGCTTATATGAACGATTGTAATGTCTGTTGTTTGTATACCCTGAACACATTAAAAATGGGTAATAAAGGAAAAATAATGTTATATATATATCAACATGAAATGGCGAGTCGATCTAGTCAGGTCCGTCTGTATGAACAAACGGATCTCTGATAATAATACAATTTTGAATATAAATTCTTGTATAACACGCGCTTATCAAGTATATATATTTTTTAATCACCAACTACCTCCGTTTCGGTTATATCGATATTTAGTGATTAGCCATATCATTATCCTTTATGAGAAACCGGGGATGTCACTTCAAAAGTGACCTCATAAAGTATATATATATTATTGATCAGAATCAACAGCCGAGGCGATATAGCTATGTCCGTGTGTCCGTCCGTTCGTCCGTATGTCTGAGACTATAAGATCTCAGAGACTATAAGAGCTAGAGACTTTAAGTTTTGAATGTAGGTTCTCGTATACCCGGCGCAGATCATGTTTACTTCTTTGAATATCGATACATTTCGATTTCCGATAGCAACAAATGCTACACTTTTAAAGACAGAATCTTCCATTTGATACATAATATGCATATGCATATTATTGATCAATTGCATCATCATTCATAAAGATCGGATAAGAACGACCCAAGTTATAGTCGAAAATATATTATCATATTGATCTCATTTCTATCAGCAGCCGCAAGCATTTTCTGTATGCATTAATAAGCGAGCGCAAGTGTGAGAAAGAGATGACATGATATTCGACGCGAGCGTCAATATGTTCTTATGTGTATTCTGCAGGGCTACGTTACCTACGATTGCCTGTACATACGATTACCTGTATATATGTTGGTAAATATGCACGTGCTTGTAGCCAGCCAGTTATGATCAGGTCGGGCTTAAGAATAAACACATTCGGTGCAATCGTTTTTTTCTCTCTACATTGCCTGTGTTTGCAGACCTGCTCACATTTGGGTGTACAACTTTTTAAAGGGAAATTTGCCAATAAACAAATGCAGCATTTATTTAACATCTGAGTTCAGGGTATATCGTAGTCGAGCAAACTCGCCTAAAGTATTCTTACTTGTTTCTTCACGCTTTATTTTCTATTTTAATTATACGTGTCCGAGAATTAGATTTTTGACTAGTTAGCACATATTATTATTTGGCATCACAACGGGCCAAATATGTCCTAAGTATGTCAGCCCATAGGGCTGACAGCCGACTTAACCTAACCTAACCTAACCTAACCTAACCTAACCTAGCACATATTAAATTCAAAATCAATACAGTTAAAAATATTGCCTTTTTATACTGTTATGTAGATTACCGATTTTAAATGTATATAGTCTATTAACATAGACGATAAATAATTATCTAGCGCAAAAGCTTAAAAAATTAATAAATATTTCTTAAAACTCAAATTGCAGTTAATAGTTTTGCAAATTCAAATGAGTAAACTTAAATTGAAAGGTGCCTTGGGAGATGCTGTATAGCTTCGCAGAATAATCGCGAATTATTCAATGGTATATCCTTATATAAATAATAAGCATATTCGTGTTTGTTTAGTGGTTATTATGCAATTATTGTTGCGAAGTTGCCTTACGAACTTGTTTCCCTCAAATTGTGCATTAGCAGGAAGGTAGAAGGTAACTCAAGCTACCTGGACTTGAACAACTTTATACATACACAGATTCACACACAGACACGCACCACACATTTCTTTACCTTCGTATAAGGAACATGGTGCACACATAATCGGATTTTACAAATCATTCATTCAATTATCTAATTGGTTTGACTGATGATCATTTGTGAACCTTGATCCTAGCCCGGCCAGCTAAAGTCAATGTGACGCATGTTTGTTACGCTTGATAAGCAGCAATTTGGAGCTGGCAGCGAGTCGACGCAGAGGGTAAGGGAGAAGGAGCGGAGGTTCTGGAGGCACAATGCCATTCTTTGCGGCTGCTCACCTTTGACTGTGAGACTCTAATGCGCCTGCCATGACAAAGTGCATCTTGGACTTGGACAGATTTAGGCGCTTGAGATTACTTTTGGAACTGTGACTGCGAGTGTGCATGTGACTGTGGATGTGGCTGCAGCTACCGTATAAGCCGTTAAAGATATAAATTGCAATTTTTAGCGACTTTGCTCAGCCAGCTGGCAAATTGAAGATTGCAAATGTAGATGTAAATATAAATAAGATAAATAGCTATTCTTGAAAGTATGAGGCAGTGGTGCTTTTTAAGAATACTCTAGGCATGTCTATATCTACATTGAATTTATTCTCCCAATTCACATATAGAAGTACTCAAACTCCGGTCTGGACACTGGCTTGGAGAGATAAATCAAACGAATTTGATGCAATCGCCAGCCACGTGTCGTAAATTTTTTGCGCTTCGGAGGTGGCACTTCCAGTGGTCCAGGAATCTTGGCTGGTATTGGACAATGCGGTGGATTTGGCGGCATTATGTGTGGCCTGGCCAAGCTAAGGATGCGGGCCGTGGGGCGTGCGGTGAGTGCAGATGGGCGTACGGGAAAACGCAGAGTGGCCCAGAAATCATCTTGGACTTCCTTGTTGGCAAAACAACAGGGAAAAAAAGGTCCTGGAAATGGCCGACCCTTATCGTGGCGTGGTGGCTTGCCCCAAACAATTACCGGCGAGTAAGCGTAAAATGGACGTTCGTACTCATGCTTCGGAGTCATTTTACGTTCTAATGGCTTTGATAGTGCCTCCATTTTCTCTATCAAATCTTCCATTGGTATTTTGCGCTTCGGACGTCCACAGGGCAAATATTTTGAATTACAGGGTAATGGCTCTGGGGGTACCACCTTAAGTTCTTTGGGCATTGCTTTGTTCATAGCCCACTGAAAGAATTTTTTCCAATCCTTTTTTTTCATGGGTCCTGGCTTTCGCCAACGTGTCAGTTCGGGTTCTACTACCTTTATGCAGCGCCGTTTGGGTTGCGCATTGCGCTCGCACCACTCAACCCACGATGGTAAAGGTTTTTCTTCTTCCTCCATGTTAGCCTTTTTATCATCACCGGCCCCGTCCTCGCTATCGTAAAAGTCCATTTTTGCAAAAAGAAACTTTCAGAATAATATTGTCTGTGGAAAACTTGAAATTTTGTACTTTTTTTTTTTTTTTTTTGGTTAGCTTTTAAGCATATGTTTTTCTCCTAGGCTTATATATGGAATAGTAAAATCTAAAAACAATAAACACAAGGCATACTATCATACTATGAGCACTTTGAAAACAACTTTTATTTTCAAATAACAAAATAATCATCGGCTACTGGCATTCTTGGATTAGGGAAAATTCACGAACCATATTGAGCAGACCCATACAGTATTTGTCTCCGATATTACTTTTTTAATATTAATGTAAGCCTATACTCTGCTATTGGGACTCTAACAAAGATAGTTGGAATATTTTATATATATCTCTTTGCGACGTACATGTTCAAACTAAGGAGTAAAATAATAAGTTATAATATCAAGTTCGAATTCTTATTTCCAGAATAACAATATATAAGTAAGCAAAATTTTAGCTGTTGTATATTAGTATTATAGTGCTTTGGTACTAATAAAGGACTGTCCCTCAATTATTTCTGATAAAGAGGATTTTTCAAGTTGTAGTGAACATTTTTGGCTGCGAATATACAAGGATCCAACGGATAAAAATTAAATGGCACAATTGTTGCACTTCATCGTTACATCTAATTTATTTCCATTGATCCAAGTACTAGGCAGCCACACAATTGTCATCTATGTGGCTGGCTCAGGACCCGGGAATTCGGCGTGGACAGAAACTGGAGGCGTACCAGATGCTCACGCCATTGTCTTGCAGTCATCGTCCGGCGCCTGGGCGGTTTCTCATCTCTTCTCATAATTGGATAGGAGCGCGGTCGAGCTAACTCCATAACTTTTCTGGAAGGTTTGAATTTAAGTGCGTTTTTTGAAACAGGGAAACGAATGATTGACCAAAAATCAACCTCTAATGCTTTGTGCTGAAAACAGCAAGGCACTTTTGGCTTTTTTGTGGGCCTCCCAGGCTCTGATTTCGGTGGTGGCCTCCTCAGCTGCGGCCGATAGGAATGCTCCTTTTGAGGTGATGCAATATATTTGCAACGTTGTCGCGTTGGTCGACTCAGCCTTGTTAGATGTTCCATCATTTCTTGTTTTTTTTCCCTATCAGCATGCAATTTGGTTCCGACATACATGAAAAACAACGGTGACTGTGAATCCATTTGGTGTATCAGAAGCGGGTTCGCTTTTGGTTTTGTTTTGGCTTTCGCTTTAACAGCGGCCCAATCGTAGAATTTCATCCACTGTTCCCGATTCATTGGTCCAGACTTTTGCCATCGCGTCGGCGGCTCAGGCTTGCTAGCCGCCATGAATCTGGACTTTGGCTTCGCATTGCGTTCCGCCCATTCTTCCCAACATGCCCATCTGCTTTCCATTATGCTCCACAAATTATTTTTGCGTAGTTGGCCGAAATTTTGTAAAAACAAAGTCAAAATTTATATACAAAAAAATTGTTTTTTCTATTTTTTTGTTTGCATTTTGTGAAATGTTGCAATAACCATTTTTATCAAAATGATTTTAAAGTTTATTTAGTTCTAGTTGAAGCAGAAGACACATGGATAACTACACTCCATCCTTATAGTAAGTAAAGAAGTGAGTAGAAAACTACAAGTATATTTCTAGTAAAATGAATGGCAATTAAGTGAATCTAAATTTCTCGAAGTCTTGTGTTTTTTATATGTCCGTTCAGTTGGCAATATTTTGCTTGTAGTTGTTTTTGAGGCGTTGCACAAGTACTTCTTTTTACAGCTCAAGAAAGTCAAAAGAACAGCTGCTGCTTCACATTGAGGGTTGCATCATTAAGCAAATGTAGCGTAAAATTGCTTTTGTTTCCGCCGCCAGAGCCTTTCGATGGCATATGTAGTGTCGATTTCACACATGTTATGAGCACTCTGCGGTCGAGTACTAGTAACGACCGCCTTCAGATTGATGACTTTGAACTTGAGCGCGTTTGTCCTTAGAGGAACAGTTCCGGCAGTAGGCGAACCAACAGGAAGTGTCCCCGATCAAAGGAAAAGCAAAAAAAAGAAGAAAACAAAGTCTCGTGAATTATTAAAATTCTTCAGGTTAACACCACGAAATCAAAAGCAAGAGCCAAACCAAACCAAACAAGAAACGCAGACAAAAATCGTGGTTTGACCAGGTTAGAAACTGGCGACAACAAATCATGACAACGGTTACCAACAAACTGCCGACGACAATAACCACGACGACGATGGCGATGGTGATGGTGGCAGCGACCGCTACAGCGACGGCGATGCACATCATCAAATGCAACACGCGGCAGCATGGACGATAATGAAGATGGGCGACAATGCCAACTGGCCGCAGCAAGACGGCCAGGTAAACAAACAGACGACCAACGACAACAACAACGCCAAACAACTACAAGAACGTTAGAAAGGTACGCGCACAAAGCACACAAGGCAAAAAGTGCGATCGATTGCAATGCGCACCGAATTTCAATTGGGCATCGCGAGACCATAAACCAAAGACCAAAGAAGACCAACATACAACGGCAGAAGCTTTCGTAATGGATGGCCATGGCATTCGGGAAATACTTACAGCTGCTATTGATGATAAAACAGCACCAAGTACGAAGACAACCCGTGCCAGTGCCAGACCAGTTAGAGCAGAGATCAGTTGCCAGGCGTTCAGTCGGACAATGACTACAAAAGGAATTGGGTTATGACCTCGAATGCGTGTCGCCAAAATCGATTGGCGTTGCAATGCGATGGGAAGCTCCTCCGATGCGGTCGGGAGTGTGTGATTGAGCCGTTTACATTGTGCATTAGAGTGGGTGAATATGGGACATACGGGGCTGAGTTTTGTGATGGTTACTTTTCCATCCAGGCAAATAAATGAAAACACGCGCAAGCAATTTAAATACTTCAAAGATTCTGCCAAGCGCTAAATATCTAGATATCAATTTTGATGCACCATTTAAACGTAAGTTTTATGAGATGTGAATTCACCAGGTATCTAACTTCAGATGATGATTTCTTTAATCCGTTGCAAAATTGTGTCCAATTAAAAAACTTTATTTTATTGATCTAAGACATAATAATAAAAAACGGATTGAGATTTGAGATCCTGTCTTTATTTTTGAGTAATATTAGTTTAAAGCTTTGTTTCTTACATCTTTAATTTTTATTCACTATTAATTTAATTCAAGAGATTAATGTTTACTAATTAATAAATAGAGTTATTAACAAAAATAAACAATAATCTAGTTGGATCTGTGCCAGATGTTTCCAATTATTGTTTTTGCTATATAGTTTAATAATGTTCAGTTACTCTGAGAATGACAATGTATAGAAAAATATAAGTAGACATAATTAAGGACATATACTCGTAGAATATAACTTTGATTGTTGGCCAAAGTAGCAGTTACGGTTTACCCGATAACCAAGAATAGTCAGAAGAAAAAGAGACAAATTATAATTACGTTTTAAAAAATATTTACAGATGTGTTTGGTGTGGTACTGAATACCTATGACTACCTGAGCATTATATGAAAAACATTATCTCACGATTTCAGCTAAATGACAAAATTCTCGCATTTAAATTAAATAGAATCGAATATGCACTGCCTGGAAATATCAAAATCAAATTCTTTTGAATTGCGCTTGGAATTTAATTATTTTTATTATTTATTTGAGCACTGCATTTCGTTGGAATACTTCACATATAAATATGATTAGCCAATTTAAGTCAAAACCACTTTAATTATAAAGTTTGAAATCAAATAGACAAGTGGCAACGGCGACTACCAATCCGAGCGATCCATCTACGATACACATTTTCGGATATTTATGTAGACGAGTCTTTGCCAGTATGGGCTTGGTGCTGGCCGGGCACGTACTTGCTCTGGGCGCTATGGGGGCCAATAAGGTGTAAATTTATGCGCCAGCGCCAGTTAAGAGAATCAGTCGACAACAATGCAACAATAACAACAGACATCGGCCAGCAACCATTAGCAAAAGAGCCTATGCAATTTATTGTTAATTTTTATAAAAGCTCAACAAAACGCACATTTTTCGTATGCCTTTTGATTGGCATTTTTTTGTTGATTTTGTTTTGTTGTATATTTTTTATCTTCATGTGCAATCGAACAGCATTTTGTAATTATTTGTAAGCTGTGTGAATTTTTGTGGCCAATCAGCGTTTTTGTTCGCAGTTTTGATTTGCAGCCAAGATTTCAACGTAATTGTATCTCATGGCTAACGCGTATTCTATGAGATTTATTTATTGTTTTTTTTTTTCACTATTTGCTGCTTATGCTGTTGTTGTTGTCGTCATGTTCTTTGGGAGTTTTGCACCTTGTTTACAACTGTTTCTTTAATTAATTATGTATCACAAGCAACACTGACAAAGTGGACAAGGATTTGTGATCAATCTAATGAATAATGATTACTCACTGTGCTACATTTTTCGATTGGGCGTTGCACTGCATTTACTACAAAGTATCTGGATTCGTATCGGCAATGTCTTCAACTGGCGCATTGAGAAAGTAACTTGCAAACTCGGATCAAATGCAGTGGACACGCGTCCATTTGAAAACGAAACGAACTTAAACGAAATCAATTAAAAAATTGTTTTTCCCGGCTTTATTACACAACAGAAACATTCAGTGGTATTGCAATTTGAATGCCTTGCACGCTTTGGCCACTGCCAACTAACTACTAAGTACCTAACCAACCAACCAAATGATTTGTGCACTGCCTCCAGTATGTTAAAATTAACCCACATTTCTGGCGCCGTTACTGGGGAAATGGGAAAAATTGTTTACAACAAACAGCAGCAAATGGCGGAAAATGCAGCGGAGATGCGAGAAACATAATAATAAAATAAATTATACTGTATAAAATTAAATGTGCTAAAATATGCAGTAGACAGAGGAAAACGAAATGTTGTTATGGACCGCATCAAGTGTTTGCTGTGGAATGCAGTTATGTACAGGTGAGGCACGCGTAGCTGGATTAACTCAAGTCTAGGGTTGAGCACGATATGAAGGCAAATGAAGTGGATTAATTGTAATAACAGAGACAACACATTTAAATTGAATATATTTAAATGAAATAACTCTTTAAATGTGTTTGTATACACAGAAAGATACAAAAAGTAAAAAATTAATTCAAAATAAAATGTTAGATTTATATTTAAATTAAAAAAAAAAATACCACACAAAATCAACTTTAAGAGGATTCTGAACTGATAACCTGATGTGTCAATAGTATTGATTAGAGAGTACTTGAGAATATTCATGTGAAGAATAATTAGTGATACAACGGAATGATCTAGAGGGAAACAAAAAAATGAAATTGGCAGATCAACTCAACGTTTAGTAACGTAGAGTAGAATAAATATCAACCATTTGGATTTTTCAGACTTATTCCAGAAAATCAAAACCGGTTTCTCAAGACTTTTGTCCATATGATATATTATTATTATACATATATAAATATATATATATTGATATATTCTTATATATATATATAAATATAAATATATACGATATTATAATAATTTACGATAAATTGTCGCTTCCGCGATTAGTTAACATTTAAAGCCACAAGTGAATACAAAAAAAATCTTTGCTTAACAAAATTGGTTGAATATATCAAAGCATTTTTTTATTACTTACACTTATAATGTGAGCTCTTTAACCATGACAAGCTCGTTTCCAATTTTGCTTCTCATGACAATTTCTCATTATGGCCTATAAGCAGCAATAAAATGTCTGTAGACAAAAAAAAAAAAAACAAATCTCAAAACTGCAAAAGGTAGCCACAATTTATGTAGCCACAACACGTGAACCATTGATTAAATTAGATGTATTCATTTGCCAAGCCCTGCAAAGCTACAAGCAAAAACCAAAGAAATGGCACATAAAAAATATTTATGAGCGCCTCGTTTTTTTGTGGCATTTTAGTGCATAAGCCAAGCAAACAAGTTACAGCCAAATCAATAAGCCGAAAAACATTGCAAACTGTGCGACTGACTAACTGACTAACTGCCGAACTGGCTGGCTGACTGACAAGCGAGCCGCATTGGGGAACATAATCAACTGGCAGCAACAATTTCCAGGCAACGAATGATATTAAATTGGGTTGCGTACGTGGCTGGGAAATGCTTAACAAAAACGGTGGCCAATCCAAATGAATACGTTATCAACGACAGTCAGTTACAAATACTGCCAAAATGCAAAAGTTAACAATCGAATAGAAGATGTCTTGTATTTTAAATGACAAATACATTTTAACAATTCAGTTTGAAATATCTAAAATATGGAATAATGTGGAGCGTTTTTAAAAATTCAGAAAGGAATCATTTATTTTTGAGTATTTTTACAAATATGACATGAACCATGGTAATAACAAAAATCTTAAATTCCTACCAAATTTGGTTTTTTTTAGCTCTTTTAGTATCAGGAAAGTCTAAGATACGTCGATGCGGTTGATGACGATTAAGAAAAGTCCATTTTCTTAATATAGAGTCGGAAAAATATATTCTTTAGTCTGGTTCATGTATATCTATATTTGCACAAGTTTACTACACACTTTTATGGGGTACAGGGTATAGCAGCAAAGACAAAGACGGCCACATAGAGAAAATGAGTTGCGTTTGGCACAGCAACTCCGGAAATTGAATTGGAAACCCATCTGTGATGCAGCTAACCAGGCAAGTTGTTAGGCAGGCCAGGCAAATGGCCAAGTTAGCATTCACAGCTTACAGTTGGTATATAGTTGTTTTTGTTGTTGTTGGGCAGATTTGACTTTAACAACAAGTCGAATCAGTTGACGTTGCACTTGTCGCGATTGAACATCAGTTTGTATTTTATTTCGCTGTGTTGCCTACTTTTCAACGTCTTGTACTTTCGATTGGTTAATTGTTAAACAAATTAAGCAACAGTTATTCGAATGCAAATCGAATGCAAGCCTTGTCTGTGGCTGCCTCTAACAAGTTGCAATCACTGATTGCTGTTGCACATCCCACATGTAATTTGCAACTCATAACAACAAACAGGCCAAGTTGCTTAGTCCAACTTGTTCAGCGGGCCACAGACCACATTCTGCGATGCACATGTCTCGCTCTATGTGCCTCGGCAATCGCCTTAGCTTGTGATTGCCAAATAATTTGAATTATTAATAATAAAGTGATTGGACTATGTTAAGAATTTCAGCTTATAATGCAATAAACCGCTTTATTTACACGAGGTCGATTAATGTATCATTTTAGTTTGTAGTTGCCGAGTTCGGGCAAAGGGTTTTAAAAAAACCGTAATTATGCCTTAGTCGAAAGAGCGCGACTAGAATATACCGTAAGCCCCACTGATATCGACTAAGATACGATTAAAATATAAAAAAAAAACACATTTTTACTCTCGTTTCGATATGCTGTCTCCATTTCACACGAAAAACTTATATGTTTCTTATCCGATCTTGCTGAAAATTGTTGATAGTATATAAGTACATTATATATTAAAATTTGCGTTTTTGCTGCTTTCGAAAGTCGATATGTCCGATAAACAATCAATAAAATATCAAATTAACTTGATATGCGCGTGGTATACGAGAAGTTATGTCCTAAATTTAACTAGCTCTTTGCCCATATAGATGGACGACCGGATGGATAGGCCGACTCTGCTTTTAACACTGGTCATAATACAGTGGTCAAGAATATGTTATGGAGTTGGAAAGAAGCATTCCTTCTGCCTGTTACACACTTTTGTACAACCCATTCAGTGTACAAAAAGATGGAATAAGATATACCACAAAAATATATTGAAAAAGTTATTTATAAGAATTTGTATAATAAATACATTTTAATAGCGGGAAATGTGTTCATAGTATATACGAACACCATTAAGAATTTTAACTCGTATAGGTACTTACTCATTGACTCCGTTGCTGGACTATCACCATCCACCACTAATGCCTCATTATCGGAATCGTTATCAGCCTGGGAGTGTTGGTGTTGCTGCCGCACACTTGTCGCACCCGGCACATAAGTCTCATGGCTGAGTATTTGGTTGTTGCTTTCTGTGCCGCCACTGGACGTGGAGGAGGCAATGCCTACATCAATGCAATCCTCGTCCACCTCCTGTTTAATGCGCTTTGCAACTGGGCTGCAACTGGCTCCATCATCTTCAATTGCCGGTATCGTAATGCCACCCATATTAGCCTCCTAAGACAAATACAATAAAATTGAGTTTAATTGCTGATGTAACAATAAAAACAATTAGCATATTTATTAGCAACGGAAGTAAGATAACAACAAGTATCGCCTTGATATCTATTTGTTTAGGTGCGGTCTACCCTAACTAACTGGTCCGAAAAATGTTTAATTTATAATTTATAGCAATCCCAGCGCTTCTGCTCTTATTGTTGTTCTTCTTGTTGCCGTTGTGTAGTAGCCATACTATAATTCGTGCCAAACAGAGACTTGAGTTATTGCTGAGCGTTAGCGGGCGGTAGACTCCTAAGTGGGTCGCTTTTAATGTTTTGACTCTGTTCGACCTGGAATACTACATGTGAAAGGGATGGGAACATAATACCCATGCTTCAGGGCCTGGCCCGGCACACAGGGTAAATGTAAAAAGATTTGCATAAAATTCAGATTTCGCTGGCAATTATCAAGATAGGCAACACAGTAGCAGATTTTATTAAAGGTGATTTGAATAAAATGGAATTTTGGGTGTCTTATAATCCTTCATTTGGATTGGTTGGGGTTTCGTACTTAGGTATATAATATCTGGTACTTACATATTCGATGACTTCTAAAAAATGAACAAAAAGAATCAGTCTTTCAATTCTCTTTTCCACGCTGTTTCATAAACAGGTCGCAGACAATCTATGTTAACCTACTTTAACCAATGGAGCATACTACTCTACCTACTAACCAAACTACTTTGGCAACTGTGACACCAAATGACTGTAATCAGTTTCAAATGAAAAGTTTTAATTAAAAGCCAACTTTGTTGGGCAATGACACCTGACCTCAAACTTAAGCGTACTAAGTGGATAAATTTGAAACTTGAACTTCCAATTGACAGCCAGACGATGTAGAGAAAAAAAGATGGCTGCGTGCTCATATGCTATGGTGGTATATGAACTTGAGTGCAGGCCGCTTCCACTGCATTCGAACCGAAGCGCAGAGAGTCTGAGAAGATGAGGGAGAGACCTGCGAGTAGAACTAACCAAAAACGGAGAGAAATGAAAAGACAAAGAGGCAACAGACCATAATCAGTGTTCCATTGAACGCACAAAATCATTTAGCGAAACCGAAACGAAAAGAGCCGACAAGAGCCAGCAAACGCAAACTGCACCCCACGAGCCCATAAGCCCACAAGCCCACAAGCCTACAAGGCACTTGAAACTGTTTTCCAAGATATGGACAGAAGCAGAAGAGACAACCAAGTTGGCTAAGGTAAAGTGTTTGCTTTATTTGTACGTACGTATGGGGACGTAGGGTAGACAACACTTGGATGAATGAATATAGGCAAGAAATAAAAACAGCAGTAGATCCACCTTGAATATGCTCAAAGCTGGCAGCAAGTTCAAAGCACGCTACGTAACAGACCAAGACAAACTCGACGATGAGTTGAGTTTTGTAGCAAATTGAATTGTCTTTGCGTTTCTGTTGTTGCTCTTGTTGTTGCATGAATCACGTGACCATGACCACCATGCAGTGCCCAAGTAAGAACAACAAAAGATTCAGACTTGAAGTCTTATCCAAGAGACTGCAGCTGTACCTGTATATGGCCAAGCTGCAATTTGAACTTCACTTAAAAGATCATTTACTTTCATTGAGAGACTGCGGAACTTGTCGCTTCGTGTAACGAGTGTAAACTTGGTCTAATAACTGTCCATTAACAGCCAGTCAGATCATGCGTAAAGGAGCAAATTTTTGGTACACGATTTAAGGGTCAGATAAAAAGGCAGCTTTTTGCCTCAAGTCTTTGGATTTACATAGCTGTTCTTTTTCCGTTTACTCCAACAATTAGTGGCTTTTCGCTTTTGTCGTGGACTTACCTTATTTGGCTTGCGTCGCTTACGTTCATTTGAAGTTGCAGCTGGCGCTGATGTTATTACAGTTGCTGTTGCTTTTATTGTCGGAATGGGGGAGGAGGAGGCGATCTCCTCTTTGACCTGCATACTGGCTTCCTGTCGATCTGTTGGCAAACAAATTCAAATTCATTTATATTACATAGTCCAAATTTATAAATATAAGTAATTATGAAAACTAAAAGCGACAGTTTACTGACAAAAAATGTTTTTAATTTTACTTAGATATTTTTAAACATAAGACTTCAAAATTTTTTAAATTTACAAAACTATTTAATATAGAATATTTTTAAACAGGCTATGATGTGGAAATCAAACGAATATTCTGAACAACCTTAATAAATTAATTATATACATGCATTTGGTTATTTGCGTTTTTTTTTAAGAATTAGAAGTACATAGTCAGCGTATTTGTGAGTGAAATTAACGATCTCAAAATATACTGTATTCTGGTAAACTTTGCAACATAATGAATTAAATTTATCACCTCATCTAATTTATCTAATCACAATCAACTTACATTTCATTTCAATTTCTTCATCATCCAATAGCAATGAAACGACTTCTTTGGGCTTGAGTGTGTCGGGCTTGAAATTGCCGCCACTTATAACCATGCGTTGTATCTGGAAAAAAAAAAAAACACAATAATTATGAAAAAACATATGAATGAAAATGCCGAAAATATTGAAAGCGAAGCGCCTCAGGAAATGAAATGAAACACGAATGGAATAGCGCCTGGGGCTTGGCATAGACTTATTTAGCTTCCGTTCTGTCGGTAGTAGCACTTTAATATGATAATGAGGAGTTGGACAATTAAACTAATAAATGCACAGAGATTAAAAAAACAAAGCACTGAATGAGTTCTCTCATAGAATACTTAAAGGCGTAACCGAAATGTCGCCTAACCAATTGTATAATTTATTTCCGGTATCGTTTTACCCCTGTTATTATATCTGCCCCAAACAATAAACGTCGTGCACATGTGTTTCATGTGTGCGGCTCGTGTTTCATTCAGTACTTTTTAAAAAGGCGCAACAATGCGCCAGGCAACTGCAGCTCAGGCATTGTAGAAGTCCACGCACGTGCCTAATATAAGGCAGAAGAAAGCAAAAACAGCAAGCGACTTTTTTTTGTTCGCTTTGCTGAATAGAGTTTTGCGGTTTCCTGGCCTCGAGTAATTTTCTTACCTCGCTCTTTTCGCGCGCCCGTTGTAGAATTCGCTCCTCGATGGTGCCCTTGCAGATGAGACGGTAGACTGTTACCTGTTTGGTCTGGCCCAAACGATGAGCCCGGTCCATGGCCTGTTGGTCAACGGTGGGATTCCAGTCCGAATCGTAGAAGATGACCTGCAAGCAGAAATGTAAGATGATTTAGAACTGGTGAATTGAACCTTGAATAAACATCCGTTTACTAGCACATAATCAAATATATCTTAGACCACTCAAATAAGAATTGAAATGAATATGTAAATGTACATTTGACACGCACATCCTTTCGCAATCCTTTTGATTATCAGCGCTGCATATTAAATGTGGTTACGAGTATTCAATAATCCACTTTGTCGCGTCACGAATTCTACGCCTTTTCTGTTATTTCGGCTCTTTCGACTATCTACTCATTTCACTCGGGACCTGTGCAGACTGCAATTGGGCTGCGCTTCTTCAAGGGTTGCATCGAGACTGCCATATCCGGCAGCAATGAAACTAATTATATTGAGCTCAATTTAGAACACGTGTTTTCAAATCATACATATCAGGCGTAACCCATTTCACTGCTCTGTCGAAATCCGTTTCCGTTTGAATGATAGCATTTGGATATCATTGGAGACGACACAAAAAGAATGAGACTAGAATTTGGTTGAATATTTAAGATGATATTAAATCGGCGCAAGACAGAAATAAAAATCTTGAAGAATTTTTAATGCTTTTGTAAGTAACTAAGTTTGTACTTGTAGAGGTTTGTCTTATTTTACTAATATTAACATTGATGTAAAGATCTTTTATTCGTACTTGCATTAGTAATGCAAGTTGCATTATAAATTACGTTGTGGATCAAGTAATAAACAAATATTAAAGCAAGAAAAAAATATACTATTTATGTATATACGTACTGATTTTTATTTTGGTGAGTAAATGAGCGTGAATAATGAAATTTACATTTTATATTTAAGATCGTGTCAATTGTTAATTACTGCAAGCAACTTTTATTATTTAGAGTCTAATTAACTTAGGAAAGCAGTAAATAAACGTAGCTTAGTAGGTGAGGCTACAACAATATGTTATCCTAATTCATTTAATGTCAATGAGAGCGAGGCTCTTATGTGGAAAATGGCAAATTCACAAGTAAGAATTGTACACTAAATAAATTAAGGTTTTAGGATACTTTTAAAGTCAATCAATGTGAATGCAGAACGGACTGCAACTTAAAAAATAATTGTGGGGCCACTTCTACTAAATGGTTGTAAAGTTCAACACCTATGGGGCTTGGACAGGTTATCACTATTATGGCAAAAGCAGACCAGTACAGTAAGTGGAATTGAATGCCAAATAAAGTGCAATTTATAATGATTACATTCAACAGAAATCTAAAAGTTGACCACCTGCAATATTTGATAATGGAGCAAGAATTGAACTGGCATATTTCAAGAGGTCACAGTCCCTTGCCTAGGGAATTCCAAGGTCAACTTAATGGGTTGTATCTCTGCCGGAAATATGGTAACTTAATTTCGAAGGGCAACCCTGAGTTAATTGATGGTGTCGGCTCAGCTTCCGCTACGCTTTACTGCAGGTTGGAATAGTCTAAGCTTCAAACACAAAATCAAAATGTGCAGTGGCAATGTCGCCCATATAATTGCAACTAATGTGCACCATCGTAAGAAAGTCTTAAAGTAAAATGAATTCATTTGACTTGTTAATTAAGACTTAAACTTTTTAGCATATCTGTGATGTAAAAATTATGCAAATACGTGATTGCGGTTGACAGCAACAAATATGTCGGATTCGGTAAGGTGCTGAAGCAGCTCAATAAAAAAATACCAGGTTTAGATAATACGAATGATATTAGATTAACCAGGGATTATTTTAATATATTTTCTTTTCAAAGATTAATTATATAAATAACTATTTTCAGGTCGTAAATATTTTAATAAAACTTGCACGTGAGATCTATGTTTCAGCCATTTGGCAAGAACACACCATTTACCACATTAATTACAGAATATTAAATACAATTCGGTCTCATGCACATCTTTGACAATACAAAAAGAAAAGTTGACGAGCTCAACGCGCTATATGGAGGTCAAGAGCACAAATTTAATAACATTTAATTCCCGAAACCCGAAGATGATCCCTGGATATGGATCAGCATTATTGATGTGTGTGCGAAGTAAAGAAGATTTTCAGCAAAGACAGAGTGTAAATTACAGGAACTAACAAATAGTTTGAGTCCATTTGCTAAGTTTAGGGCACAATTCGCTATTAAAACTTTTTGTTGCTAACAAATTGGTCAACAGATTTCCCAAATTGTAAGCTCGAGCAACCGAAACCAATAAATCAATAATTTCTCGATTGCAAGTAATTGAAAGTGATTCATACACAATAATAATAATATAAAGCATGCTGCTCGGATCACCGATAACAATTATTAGTTTTCGAATTTAAGTATTGGGTGTATTAAGTATTCTTGCAACAAATTTTAGGAACCCCCGAATATCTTATATTTATATATTTGATTATTCACATTAAATGTAAAACTTTCTAAAACTTAGGAAATGGGTAGGAAATTAATATTCGAATTTTAATAATGTACACTCTTTTAAGAAAAATTATAAGGGAATCATTATCGTAAAATGACTTCAAATACATGATATAGAACCGTATAAACATTAAGGTCCGAAGTAGCCTAAGTAGTGCAGATAAGGCACCGCATGATATTGACTTCGCTTTGAGTTTTCAGGCCAATGCCTTAATAACAGTATGCTAGTAATATTTACAACCTCTTGTGCGATTTTCTTACATAGATAATACCCTTATTAATTGTGCGATAAGAATTGACGTTTAGCTAAGCAACACCTTTTAGTAGTGCTCGAAGAGTGCTTTCACCTACAGTAGAACTGCAATTCACAACGATGACATACCACCTAGTCGGAATTACCCTGGTTCTGCTAGCATTAGGCCAATGCGCTCAGGCTGGTGACAACATATTTCAGCGTACTTTCAAGCAACTGCACGGAGAGCCTCCTTTGCCTGCGAACCAGAACAGGGCTGATGTGGTACAAACCTTGTGGATCGAGCAGAAGTTGGATCATTTCGATGAGTCCGAAACACGAACATGGCAAATGGTAAGCGTCAAGTGTTGTATAATAGTTCCCAATCGATTATGAATCACTTACTTACCCAATCTAGCGGTATATGTTGAACGATGGGTTCTTTAAAGCCGGTGGTCCCATGTTCATTTTCTTCGGCGGAGAATGGACCATTTCCCCAGGCCGCATTACAGGTGGTCACATGTACGACATGGCCAAGGAACACAATGGACTGCTTGTCTACACTGAACATCGTTACTATGGCGAAAGCCATCCCTTGCCGTGAGTTTTTTCTTATCAAAAAATAATTTTTGTAAAGTTCCTCATGAATTTATACGTCTTTCAGCGATTTGTCCAATGAAAATATACAATATTTGCATGTAACACAAGCATTGGCCGATCTGGCACACTTTATAACCACACAAAAGACAACTTATGAGGGGTTGAGCGATTCCAAAGTCATTATTGTAGGCGGTTCCTACTCGGCTACGATGGTTACTTGGTTTAAGAAGATCTATCCGGATTTAGTGGTAGGTGGCTGGGCTTCCAGTGCACCACTTTTGGCTAAACTGAACTTTTTGGGTATGTTATATATTTTTACGTACAACATTCTACCTAACTTACAATATTTTCAAACAACTTGCTTAGAATACAAGGAGATAATGGGACAATCCATAACCTTAATGGGCGGAGCTGACTGTAATAAGCGTATTGAGAACGGCATTGCTGAAATGGAAACTATGTTTGCCACTAAACGAGGAGCGGAGGTCAAGGCTCTGCTGAAGCTCTGTGAACATTTTGATGTATACAGCGATCTGGATGTATGGACATTGTTCAACGAGATTTCCGAAATATTTGCTGGCGTTGTGCAGGGACACTAGTAAGTATGAGTTCAAACAGATCCCAAAATATTGCTTATGTTATGTTATTCAACCAACAGTGCTGGACGGATTGAGGGTGTTTGCCAAAAAATCATGGCAGAAAGCTCTGATCTCATTGGAGTGAGCAAGTATATACTCGATGAATTTGAAAAGAGCGGTGACAAATGCAACGATCTCAGCTACGATGCCATCACTACCGTTTTTTTGGAGTCAAGGTACACAGGAGGTCCCAGTAAGTATTTAAATCGATGGCTTGTGCCATTATAACTATATCTCTGGATTAACATTTGACAGTGCGTCAGTGGTTATACCAGACATGCAATGAGTATGGTTGGTACCAGACCTCAAGTTCCTCAGCACAACCCTTTGGCACCAAGTTCCCTTTAGCATTATTCACGACAATGTGCGCCGATCTTTATGGCTCCCAGTATACCAACTCATTTATCGAGAGACAGCTGGCAAACACAAATACATACTTTGGGGGCATGTCGCCTAATGTGAAAAATGTGTACCTAACTCATGGCCAGTTGGATCCCTGGCGTGCTATGGGCATTCAGACAACAGTTATACCAGGTGAGATAATTGAATAATGATATTCAAAAACATTATATAATCATTTTGTTGGCTTTACAGAACATGCACACTGCAGTGACTTCGGTTCAATTAGTGACAAGGACACCGCCGAAATGCGTGCCTCGAAAGAACGAATCGCTGAACTGGTTCGCGAATGGCTGAACTAAAATTGTTGTCCATTTAGGTTTCTAAAAGTGGGCTTTATTGTAATGTAATAAATGAGCAAGCGGAATTTTTATTCAGTTGTTCAACTGTAATTACCTGCGATTTGACTACGAGTGAAAATAAATGTTTTTCAGCATTTTTTTTGTTTTTTTTTTTTGTAGTCACCAAAATGTATATATTAAAGTTCTTTTATGTTGAATATGAAATCGAATTAAAATATGAAATGAATTAAATAACCCACACAATATCAGGAAAACAAGAAAAAAAAAAATCATCAATCGATTACAATCAATCAAAGCTGATCCAAACGTAAATTAATAACGATGTAGAACAAGCAACTGGTTTATCGATAGTTATTATTAGCAAATTTTAGTTGTCAGATATCAATGATTTTGGAAACGCGTCGACTAGCTATGCTGATAACACACTAAATATTATTGAGCTCGACAATGTATTATGCCGACAATTCGATAATAGTATGATAGTATTCATTATTGCCTCTTGTGTGATTTGACACATAGATTACAATAAGTGCTCGATAAGATTTGCTAGTTAGCTAAGCAACATTTATTAGCTCTCGCAGAGTGCTCGAAGAGTGCTTTCAGCTACAGTAGAACTTCAATTCACAACGATGACACACCACCTAGTCGGAATTACACTGGTTCTGCTAGCATTAGGCCAATGCGCTCAGGCTGGTGACAACATATTCCAGCGTACTTTCAAGCAACTGCACGGAGAGCCTCCTTTGCCTGCGAACCAGAACAGGGCTGATGAGGTACAAACCTTGTGGATCGAGCAGAAGTTGGATCATTTCGATGAGTCCGAAACACGAACATGGCAAATGGTAAGCGTCAAGTGTTATATAATAGTTCCCAATCGATTATGAATCACTTACTTACCCAATCTAGCGGTATATGTTGAACGATGGGTTCTTTAAAGCCGGTGGTCCCATGTTCATTTTCTTAGGCGGGGAATGGGCCATATCCCCGGGCTATGTTACAAGTGGTCACATGTACGACATGGCCAAGGAACATAATGGACTGCTCGTCTACACTGAACATCGTTACTATGGCGAAAGCCATCCCTTGCCGTGAGTTTTTTCTTATCAAAAAATAATTTTTGTAAAGTTCCTCATGAATTTATACGTCTTTCAGCGATTTGTCCAATGAAAATATACAATATTTGCATGTAACACAAGCATTGGCCGATCTGGCACACTTTATAACCACACAAAAGACAACTTATGAGGGGTTGAGCGATTCCAAAGTCATTATTGTAGGCGGTTCCTACTCGGCTACGATGGTTACTTGGTTTAAGAAGATCTATCCGGATTTAGTGGTAGGTGGCTGGGCTTCCAGTGCACCACTTTTGGCTAAACTGAACTTTTTGGGTATGTTTGGGCTTTCAACTAACTATATCCTACCTGACTTATAACACCTTTCATTAAACTTACTTAGAATACAAGGAGATAATGGGACAATCCATAACCTTAATGGGCGGAGCTGACTGTAATAAGCGTATTGAGAACGGCATTGCTGAAATGGAAACTATGTTTGCCACTAAACGAGGAGCGGAGGTCAAGGCTCTGCTGAAGCTCTGTGAACATTTTGATGTATACAGCGATCTGGATGTATGGACATTGTTCAACGAGATTTCCGAAATATTTGCTGGCGTTGTGCAGGGACACTAGTAAGTATGAGTTCAAACAGATCCCAAAATATTGCTTATGTTATGTTATTCAACCAACAGTGCTGGACGGATTGAGGGTGTTTGCCAAAAAATCATGGCAGAAAGCTCTGATCTCATTGGAGTGAGCAAGTATATACTCGATGAATTTGAAAAGAGCGGTGGCAAATGCAACGATCTCAGCTACGATGCCATCACCACCGTTCTTTTGGAATCAAGATACAGTGGTAACATAAGTAAGTATTTAAATGCGCCGCTGTTGCTATTATTGATGAAATTTTAAATAAATATTTACAGTGCGCCAATGGATATACCAGACATGTAATGAATATGGATGGTACCAAACTTCAAGTTCCTCGGCACAACCCTTTGGCACTAAGTTCCCCTTAGCATTATTCACGACAATGTGCGCTGATGCTTATGGCTCTCAGTATACCAACTCATTTATCGAGAAACAGGTGGGAAACACAAATGCAGACTTTGGAGGCATGTCGCCGAATGTGCAAAATGTGTACCTAACTCATGGCCAGTTGGATCCCTGGCGTGCGATGGGCATTCAGAACGAGGCACAGGCAACCATTATACCAGGTGGACTGATCAAAAAATAATAGTAAACATTAAATATTTATTTTGTCGACTTTACAGAACATGCACACTGCACGGACTTTGGTTCAATCAGCGACAGAGACACCGCCGAAATGCGTGCCTCGAAAGAGCGTATTGCTGAACTGGTTCGCGAATGGCTGAATTAAAATTATGGTTCCATTTTGGTTTATTTCTGCGGTATCAGAATCTAAAAGTTAAGTGGTTGTGTTTTATTGCTGTAATAAACAAGTATGCGGAATACCATATAAAATTGTCGTTTAAGAATATACTGTTAAATAGTTTGATGAGATTAATTGAACATGACTTTCATTGTGCCTTGGTCAGTTTTATATTTCAGAGTTGGGATAAGAAATAATAAAACCCATAATAAAACAAGTAAGAGTGCTGTAGTCGAGTGAGCTCGACTACTATTTACCTTGAACACAGCTGTTAAATATATTCTAAAACTTGAAGAGTAAGAAACCGAGCAGCGCATGTTTTTATTCACAAGCCCGAACTGATTCTTTATATAAATACACACATATATACGTATACACAATCGTAATGGGGTAACGGGGGTCTGCAGAATACACTCAAAGACATATTGACGCTCGCGTCGATTATCATGTCATCTCTTTCTCACACATGCGTTCGCATATAAATGATATCAATATGAGAATATATTTTCGACAATAACTTGGGTCTTTCTTATCCGATATTGATGAAATTTGGGCAGGTGATCAATAATATGCATATGCATATTATATATTAATTAGAAGATTCTGCAGCTATCGATAAAATAAAGCAAACTTGATCTGCGCCGGGTATACGAGAATCTCTATTTCAAATTTGAAGTCTCTGGCTTTTATATTCTCTCAGATCTGTGTGTCCATACAGACGTACGGACGGACAGACGGATATGTGGCTCTATCGACTCGGCTGTTGACCCTGATCAGGAATATATATACTTTATGGGGTCGGAGATGTTTCTTCTGCCTGTTATATACATTTGCACAAAACCATTATACCATTTTTACCCATTTTTAATGGGTTCAGAGTATAATAACTAAATGTTTAATTAAATCATCGGACATCATAAATTTGTGATATTTGTTTTGCGGTTGAAAATCCCCTGTTATCACCACCACTATTGAAATATTACGCTTATCAGCAATCTTATAGCCTTTTATCTTGATCGCAAATTATTGATAGCTATATTGAATTAAATAAAAGTTGAATGTTGTGCTCTGGCCTATTTCATTTTCGATCATGTTGGTGGTTCAGTTGGTCAGTCTATTGCTGGTGGTTTTGGCTAGCCAGGCAAACAGTCTGAAATGGAAGAAAGATGTGCCCGTTTTCGTGAAAACTCTATGGGATCTACATCGTGGTCCACCCCAACAGAAGGGGATTAGTCTAGACAAGGCTACTGAAGAATGGATCACACAGCCACTTGATCACTTTGATGAAAGCAATGAGAAGACTTACCAAATGGTAAGAACATTTTAAAAACAATATTCTGAACCACATATTTTATAAACTTTTACTTTATGTAGCGCTATTTGATCAACGATGAATTCCAAACTGAGGGCAGTCCAATTTTCATATATTTGGGCGGTGAATGGGAAGTCAGCCCTGGCATGATAGAAAAGGGTCATTGGTACGACTTGGCCAAGGAACACAAGGGCCTTTTGATCTACACAGAGCATCGTTATTATGGAAACAGTGTGCCAACAGAGTAAGTGCAGTTAACCGAGTTCATATCATAATCATTTCTATATGAATAAGTGTTGTCAACAGGAAAATGACCGTGGATGATTTGCAGTATTTGCACGTCAAGCAGGCGCTTGCCGATGTCAAGCATTTTATCACAACCCTTAAATCGGAGAATGCACAGCTCGCCAATTCGAAAGTATTGTTAGCTGGTGGCTCCTACTCTGCCACAATGGTTGTGTGGTTCAAACGACTCTATCCCGATTTGGTGGTGGGTGGCTGGGCTTCCAGTGCGCCTCTGCTCGCCAAGGTAGACTTTTTCGAGTACAAAGAGGTGACAGGTAAAGCCTTTGCGGAGCTGGGTGGCCAGAAGTGCTACGACCGCATTCAGAAGGGCATAGCCGATTTGGAGTACATGTTTGACAACAAACGTTCGGCTGAGGCACGCTCAATGCTGCGCTTATGCAGCAGTTTTGATCATGAAAACGATTTGGATATGTGGAACTTGTTTGGCAGTATTTCCAATGTCTTTGCGAGCTTAGCACAGTATCAACAGTAAGTCAATCATATGCTGCAAGACAATCAAAACTAATGACTTTACTATTAAATGTAGACCGGGTGAAATCGATTATTATTGTACTTTTCTGCTGACTTTCGATGATGATGCCACAGCCATTGCCAATTTTGTATACTGGGCTTGGGGCTATGAAACGTGCACTGATGCACGCTATCAAGAAACCGTTGACTATTTTCTGAGCGCCATTGAGGATTTTGGTGCGGGTAAGTTAGTATACTATTTCCAATCGTGTTGTTATCTTTGATTAGTGTAAATGGTTTTTGATAGCTCGTCCATGGTATTATCAGACTTGTAACGAGTATGGTTGGTACCAATCGTCACGTTCACTTAAGCAGCCATTTGGTACCAAGTTCCCTGCCACGTTTTATATTGAAATGTGCAAAGATGTCTTTAGCTCCAAGTACGGTAACGAAATGATCCAAAGCAATACTGCACAGACAAATCTGGACTTCGGTGGTATGGAACCCAACGTTGAGAACGTCTATATGACACACGGTGAACTAGATCCCTGGAGTGCCATAGGTCATGGCGTTGCCGAAGGAGCCACGGTTATTAGCAAGGCCTCGCACTGCAATGACTTCGGCTCCATTAGCCCCAGCGACAGCAGTGAGATGCGCGCATCTAAGGAGCGCATTGCTGAACTAGTTCGAGAATGGTTAGCCTAACTATTATGAACAAAGCAATATTTTATTGCTATGTAATAAAATCTATAATCTACTCGTTTTTGTACTATTTTTTTTTTTTTAAACCATTTATATCAAGCCGTATGTAAAATGTATTTCCATCTGTATGAACTTTCAAAATTAAAAAAATAATTGATAGATTTTTCTTGCAAGTCGATTAATTGAATTTAAATAGGTATAGTCATTTGCATACTATTGATTACCTCAAATTTTAAATAAACATAACAAATAAGTATAATACGCAATATCAATTGCACTGGTTTCAGTGTATTAAGCAGTTCGCAATAACCGTCTCGAGGTATCTCCAGGTACTTAATGTGTGTTGGGTTTTTATACTTTGCTACCGCAGGTATTTTTCGATGCCCTTAAAGATAGAAACTTGAAACTTGGAACATATACTGGTATGTGCCCGCATCAAAGTACAAGAATTGGAGTGCAACGTCCACAAAGCAGCTAGGAAATCAATAAAATCGAAATCGGTAGGTACAAATCGAAAAAGCCACATATCTCCCATAGGTTGGTAGGTTATTGGCGATGTCATTCAAAGATTGGTTACGCCCATCCCCGACGCCTACATACCCCCGTCCATACAAATTTTAAATAGCTATCTTGCTCATCTTTTCAGTTAGAGCCGTTAAATTGGGTAGATATATTACTACTAGCCGTCCTTAAGAGCCGATGAAAAATTGTATAACCACTTCTACACCTGCGCGATTATGGAATCGCCAAAGCCGATAAATCGAAAAATGTAAATCGATAGATTCGCATATCTTCCATAATTTGAAAGATTGGAAGGTAACTTGCTGGTAACCTCCTTCAAAGATCGGAGTATAATTTTCAGACTACGCCCACACCCCCCGCTCCCAGGAACTTCGGCCCTAGAAATCTGAAATGTGCATATCTTCCACAATTTGCAACCTAGTCACCAAACACCATTAAAAAATCCTGAAAAAAAATGTAAACCACGAGGCGGAAAAAAAGCTATATCTCCCACAATGTAAAAGCTACAGTTACCAAACCTGGAAGATAGATTACTAAGAACGTCCTACAACATTTTTTGGCCACGCCCACTCACGCCCTCGAAAATAAGTGCTCGTGAAATGTAAAGGTAGAGGGTATTTCCCAGTGAAACTACCTCGACTAGAGTTCTTATGTCTATTGTTGCTATGCATATTAATTATATCATTCATGAGTCACCAAATTTGGTTGGTAGGTTGCTGGCGATGCCCTTCAAAGATCGGCATGTGCCACGACCACCCAGGCCCCCGGCCATAAAAATTAAAAATGTCTAAATCTTCCACAGTTTTTGAGTTAGAGCCATCAAATTTGGTAGATATATTACTGGAAGCCGCCTTTAACACCAAACCTTTTGTTAATATTTTTACCGAGAGAAATATGTAATCTGCCCTAACTATCCCAAGAGGCCATTTGACGCTTGCAAAGATTCTGTATCTTGATTTGAATTTCTTGTGATTATGGGCATTGATATATTGATATATTTTGCAACTAAATGTATGTATTACTCTTCTATATGCACGTGGCGTATATCATGCAAACAATTTGAATATTTCATATCTGTAGAACAGTAAATGGGATCCAGCTTTTTTTCAAAAACTGTGAGCAGGAGTGATTTTTGTGAAATGATGGAGTTAATAAAGATAAAAAAGAGTCAACGAAGACAGCATTTACAAACAGATAAATTGGCTGTAATATCTGACGTATGGTATAAATATAAATAGCCAAAATTGCAAGCCTGGGGAACATGTAACTATAGATGAACAGCTTTTCCTATGCAAAGCGAGATGTAAGTTTATACAATACTCGTATATGCCAAACAAACCGGATAAGTTTGGTATCAAATTCCGGCTAGCATCTAATGTCAGTACCAAATACATCATAAATGGATTTCCATATTTGGGAAAAGAAGAAAACAGAGCAGCTTCAACTCCTCTTGGGGAATTCGTTGTTTTCAAACTACTGCAACCGATCACAGGATGCGGAAGCTGCAGATAATTTCTTTACGAGCGCATCACTAGCTACAAAAGTACTAGAAAAAACCACTATTGTTGGACCGATCCGCGGGAACAACAGTTAACTATCAAAAGCAGGCGAAAGATGGTATGTCATGCTTCTCGACAAAACTATACAACTCGAGTCATTGTTCACTTAGCATTTACAAAAGTAAGCCAAACAAAAAAGTGCCTCTACTATGCTGAAAGTATAAATCTATAAGCATTGAAACACATGGTAAGTGTACACCTGAAATCGAAATCGCATAAATGGACTGCACAGATTCTTTTCAATATTCTTGACCTTGCTGGAATCAAGTCTTGGGTTTGATACAGAGAAACAACCGGCGAAGAAATCTCTGGACAGCAATTTTTATTCCAATTAGCTGAAGAGCTTGTCGAAGATTTTCAAAATGACCAACAGGAAGAAAAAAAAATATTTAGAAAAGTCAACAAAGTCAAAAAAGCAAAGAAAACAAAACTGCGAAAATCTGTTTCAAATGCAATTAATATGTGTGTGGAAAATGTACCTTCGAGAACCCAATAATTTGCAAAATATGCGGTGAGCATGAATAAAGTTAGCATATTATTTAATTGTTTTCTAAATTTGAGATTCAATTGAAGAATATTTAATTTTTTTCTTGTATTATTTTTATGTTTTGTAAAAACGGGTCATTGACCCACTTTGGTAGGAATAGGAATACATGAAGTATCGTTATCTTTAGTGTTAAGAACAGGGAATAAATTGTATGGCTACGCCTACACCTGCCAATCGCCAAAGCCGAAAGCCTAAATCGATAAGACCGCATATCTTCGATAATTTCAAAGTTAGAGGCCCCAGAATTGGAAGGTAAATTGCTGGTAACCTCCTTCAGAGATCGGCAAAAAACAATTGTAAGCTAGAGTCAGTAAATGTTGAAAATATGTCACTAGTAACTCCCGTAAGAGATCGATAAAAAATTGGATGGCCACGCCCACTGCGCCTCCCTAAACCAATTCACTTCTTAGTGTAAATCGATTAAATCGTATACTTTACACAATTTTTAAACTAGAGTCGCCAAATTTGAAAGGTATATTGCTAGTAACAACAAATTTTGGACCACGCTCACTCCCGCCCCCAAAAGCCATAAAAGCCTATATCTCCCGCTAAATAAGAGCTATAGCTAGGAAACTTGCAAGGTCGATTACGAAGATAGCCCTCCATTTTTTTTGGCCACGCCCACTTCGTCCCTAAAATTCTGAAAAGCCTATATCATGCACCATTGACCAAACTTAGAAGGAAGATAAATTCTTCAGAACTTTATTAGCCCACTCTGGCAGCCCAAATTTCCCAAACACCCATATCTCCCGTAATTTAAGAGCTAGCCAGTCCCAATGTTGAAGCCAGAGAACAATCAGGCAATAAGCTGGCAAGGGTGTTTACTCTATCTGGTAATTTGAAGTCCGTTAAATTATCTATGTTTACAATAAGTCGACAATTTATAGCTGCAGCTGCATTTTTAATGAATTTAAAATCCAGGATAAAAACAAATAAGTCAGTAGGTGCGGAGGATAATTAATTTTATGAAACTTTACTATGAGAATTTCGGGCTAAGGAACGTTAAAAGCTCCAAAGGTTTTCCCACTTTGCCTTGCAACGATCTCAATTGCTCTCCACTGTGAGGAGCAAGGAGCTTTCCATTAAAATTTATTCGCCGACACGTTTCCAGATATGTTAGTTTTGGGTGTTTTCACACGAGCCAATTGTCTCTAGCAGCAGCGTTGCTTCAACGCTCTGGCAGAGCAGGTGCTAACACGTACGTACACGTACGTGTATATGGCAGCAGAATTTTCGAATAATCTCCAACAACGCCAGCCATCTTAGCAGTCAACTTCGATTTAGAAAAATACATATTTGCTGTCATTATTAAAAATTGTATGCACAGACACAGATATCAAATTAAACGTTGACAAAACCAGATCTGAAATGGTCGATCCTGAATCCAAAACAGACCAAATCAAAACAAAGTCTAACGATCCTTAAAGGACGCTACCAGTAATCTTTGCTTATTAATAATAATTGCTTGGTGGAAACTTTATTGGAGCTCTTATTACTTTAACTTTGATGGCAGATATTAATTTATTTGGAAATAAAGTGTTAAATTGGTGTGATAAGAGTAGGTTTCTTACCTTTATACAACAAGTTTTGAAATATCTTAGGGAGTGAGCCGATGTAGAAGTTTAGTTACATACGTTAAGGGTTGAGTGTGGCACTAGAAGACGATTAAAACTAGTCTAGACGGATACACAGGCATGATTAGATTGGATACACAATAAAATATATACTTAATGGCATCGGAGATGCTTTCTTCTGCCTGTTACATGCTTATGCAAATGCTCGTTATTGAGATTATATCCGTCTACCCATTTTTAATTGGTTTATAGTATAATTATTTACTGAGTATAGACATATTACTTGGCAATGAATAAATCCTCCGATTGCGAAATTGTCCAAACAGCATGGTTTACAACGGGATCTTTTTACAAACGGGAGTCAACGTGATCTTGAAACTACTTGAACTTATCAGTCTTATAAAAAGATAACTTAAGACAAAACAGCTTGTAAATATTTGCTTTTCAATTGGCACTTATCTGTAATAACAATCTATTCACACCTATTTTTGTATAAATACGTCGCATATTGGGGTAGGAAAGCATTCGCAAACTTGCGAACTAGCCAGCAAGATGAAATACACCCTAGTACTAGCACTTCTAGCACCTCTGGCATCTGCAGCAAATCTAAACTCAGATGATTCAAGGATACCTGCATCTGTGCGAACACTGAATGAGCTCCACCGTGGGCCACCAATGCAGCTTATCAGCAAGCGAGCAAATGTGGAGACTCGCTGGATCAGTCAGAAACTGGACAATTTTGACGAAGGCAATGAGGAAGTCTGGGATGATGTAAGATGTGATTATAAGATTTCTGGCCACTTTAACCACAGTGATCTTTAATTTTAGCGCGTATTGATCAATGAGGACTACTTCGTAGATGGTTCCCCAATCTTCATATACCTTGGCGGTGAATGGGAGATTGAGCCCAGTCCTATAACAGCAGGACATTGGGTGGACATCGCTAGCGAGCACAATGGATCATTGGTCTATACGGAACATCGATTCTTTGGCCAAAGCGTTCCCATTAAGTAAATGATTTAGATCCTAATACGCCAGTTAACTTAGATCCATTCTTTGATTATACCAACAGACCCCTGACAACTGCGAACCTCAAGTACCAAAATGTGGAACAAGCTTTAGCCGATGTTGTTAATGTAATTAATGTTCTTAAGGAGGAGGAAAAATATAAGAACTCTAAGGTGGTTGTGCAAGGATGTTCCTACTCGGCGACCATGGCGGTTTGGATTAAGAAATTGTACCCCGACGTAATTGTGGGCAGCTGGGCGTCCAGTGCTCCCTTGCAGGCTAAAGTGGACTTTAAAGGTGAGTAACCAGTCTCAAATATGATATCATAATAATGTTTTGTATCGTCTACTTTGTAGCTTATATGAAAGTTGTTGGCCAAGCATACAGAGAGCTCGGAGGAGATTATTGTTACAACATCATCGATAATGCCACTTCCTTTTATGAGGATTTGTTTGAAAACGGTCAGAATGCTGAGGCCAAGAAGCTCTTAAACCTTTGCGATAATTTCAATGAAAACGACCAACATGATCAGTGGCAAATTTTTAGCACAATTGCAAACATTTTGGCAGGCCTCGCCCAGTACCAAAAGTAATTATGCAACGCCCCCAATTTACGAAAGCTACATGTGTTTTTACTTCAATACAGCCCGGCAAACTATGACTTGGCCAAACATTGCTCAGTGCTTCGATCCTTTAGTACGGACGATGCCACGGCACTATCTAAGTTCATACAATGGCGTCTCGACAATCCAGAATGCGTTAACACCGTATATAAAGCAACTGTTAAATATTACAAGTGGGCAATGCATAACTATGATGGTTGTAAGTGACACCTTGTTAAATGAATGATGAATACTAAGTCTGACGAATCAAATAACTCTTTCTTAGCTGGTCTCAGCTGGTTCTTTCAAACATGCAACGAATTCGGCTGGTACCAATCCTCTGGTAGCAAGAATCAACCATTCGGCTCATCTTTTCCAGCCACCCTGTACACCGACACTTGTAAAGATGTCTTTGGATCAAAATACACTGCAGCTAAAATCGAGAAGCATATAAGCGAAAAAAACAAGGTGTACGGAGGTGTGAACCCTAATGTCGAGAACGTTTACATGACTCATGGAGGATTAGATCCATGGCATCCAGTTGGGGCCGGAGCAGCACAGGGTGCCACCATTATTCCCCAAGCTTCTCATTGTTCCGACATGGGTTCAATCAGTGCTAAGGACAGTCCTGCAATGATCGCATCCAAGCAGCGAGTGGCTCAACTGGTTCGCGAGTGGCTTGCCTAGAATCCCAATGGATTCAACATTTATTTTTTTTCACTTCAACATTCTTTTACTTGTATCTTTTGGTTTTGAAATTTTGTAATAAAGAACATCAAAGCATGAACATCTTAAATATCAAAATGTCACTTAATTTCAAATTTTAAACATTTTATTTTAAATATAAAGAACAAATTTAGGGTCTTTGATCGAATTGAAGGAATTTAGTTTTGGTTCGATTTCCCCATATGTTCTCTATGGAATTAAGGTCAAGTGATCAGTGAAACCACCCATGACAGGCCCGGGATAAATGTATTAGAGCATTATTCTCCTGAAATAATGCATTGTCTGATTGATACCATATAAAGTTCATCAAAACATAGTCCAGCAGGTTTATATATTCATCCGAATTCATACGGTCAGAAATTTTACATATCGGGGTCCTGTTGAGATGACTGAGTGCAGCGTTGAGATGACTGAATGCAGTCATAAGTGAAGCACAATTACAGCTTCGAATGGGAAAAATTTCTCAAACTTCTTTTAATTGTGCCAGTAATTCTTAGACCGTGTGGACAATCGAGATTACATTTTTTCTCCTCAGAAAATACTAAATTTTTCCACTTCAGGGTCCAGGACATGTTTACATGCATTACAAGACATCATAACAACTAAAGAAGAACTATTTTAAAATATTTTTAGGAGATTTGAACGTTTAGTGTAAAAACATTAATAAATTACAACAGAATTAAGTCTTTTATCGTTATATAAATTGAGCTGGTAATAGTTTTTCATCATCATGAAAAAAAATCAAGAATATTTATATTTTTGTCGTCCCCTTTCTTTTTGCATAAATTAGTTATCCAAATAAAGAAATAACTTAATATCCGAAAATAATGTGGCTGCAATTATATTGTACATTAAAATATATCAATTTGGTCCCACCCACCTCTATTGACATACATGATTTGACCGAAGAAACTGGTTTTCTGGAGTATCCTTTTGAGATTTTCGTACCTCTTCACTGATAATTACCTGCCCGTGCAATAGCATTGATTTATTAGCTTTATTATTGGTTAATATCCGTGTTAACTGGATTACGTTCCCTTCCAGATGTAAAAATAGATTCCATCACTATGACAGTAACAAAAAAAAAACATATTTCACCCAATTAATTGCACTAAATTCAGCAAAGTATACGGAAAAAGACGGACTGTAGCTAAAATGTTTTTTGGCCATACCTCTAAAGAAATTTTTATTTCAAATGTAAATATCAACGATTAATAAAGATACGCTACCTCGAAGTTTGTGGTTTTGCTATTGCTACAAACTTTAACAGCGAATTAGCTGTGCTATGCTCTGATCTATCATTTGCAATACCAATAAAAAAAAAAACAAAAAAATTTTCCTTTGAGCTATCTGTAGTTGTAGCAAAGGCAACAAGAACGGGAGCAAAGCGGTAATATGCTTCGAGCGCAGAGCGGTAGCATGATATTTCATGCTTTAGATTATAGCAGCCGAACTGTATAGCTTGTGCTATTGCTAGAGGTATCGTATATTTGATTTGCAAATTTACTTCCCGTAGCTCCTATTACCATTTCATTGAGTACATATAAGGTGAACAGAAGAACAGCGACTTGTAAAAGGAAATACTATATAATAAGATGGTGAATATAGATTACCTCTAATAGCACCTGTACATAATTTTTTTATAAATTCACCGTGTATTATGGTAGTAAACCATTCACAAGATTACGAGCTATTCAAGTTGATGGGATTCCTGCATTTGTACAATCCAATCTTCATTTACTTTGGGGCTAAATGTGCAACTTACCCGATAACATCAGGACTTTGGGTGAACATCGCACGCAAGCACAATGGATCTATGGTCTGCCCGGAATATCGATTATTCTTCGGAAGCATTCCCAATACGTAAATCATAAATCAGTACACTACCCAAAATCTACCAATTTATTTTGTTCACCATGATTAAATTTCGACTGAAAATTTTACTTTATATAAAGTTCACTGTACCTGATAACGATTTCTGATAATTTCGTTCAGCGTTACATCATAGTCAAAACTTATTCGATGACTGCAGAGAAGTTTTTTTTAACTAAACAAACGAGCAACCGAAGGAACGAAGTTCAGCTGCTCTAATTTATATTTAATTTGTATTATATAATGAACCGAATGGAAATGTGTGAAAAGGATAAATCGAATGTTAAAGTGTGTAACAGGCAAAACAAGTCATCTCCAACTCCATTAAGTATATATATTTCCGATCATGTCAGAACATTTGTGTATATATGCTACAAGAGGTAGAGACTAAAAATTTGTATTGGTAGTTTTCGAATACCTTATACCTCCGTTTTCCCTATATCAACCAAAATTGATGCGCTTACATTTTAAAATATTCCGTGTTCATTAACTGTCAAAATATAATCAAGATCGAATATGAAACACAGATTTTGTTAACTAAAAAGATTTTGTATTGAACAATAAAATTCAGCAATCGCAAGCATTTTCTGTATACATGTATTCGTACAAGCCAGTATGAATACTTATTTTTACGTGCATTCCGCAGCACCCTGATATCTATGAATGCGCCTTTATATACGCATATATATATATATATATAAACTTGATTTGGTGAGACACGTGAACAACCAATATCGTAGTTCCACATCTTTATATGGCTAAAAAATAACAATCTGCTTGGGCGTGACTACAAACCGACAAGTTTTTGCTTTGATAACAATATCTCTCCCATAGAGCCAAGTGCCAACCGTAGTGGATACTTTGCTCAATTACCAACTAATGTGCCATAATTCCTTGATGAGATCATTGAGTTCTACGTTATGCAAAATGTATTTACAAACATTTATTTTATAACTTTAGTTGTACTAACAGAAGGCAGAGAAACAGTTATTAACTTTTCAATATATGTGGTCATATCACCAGAAAGTCTAACCAATTTAACTTATCTTTGGTTTATAAATGAAGCATGTAATTGAACTGCTTTAAAGCTATGTCTATTCATTAACAGTTATCTTTAATAGCACTTTGCTCAGACTTAATTTTGCATAAATAAGCCATGTATTGGAGTAGGAAACCATTCGCAAACTTGCGAACTAGCCAACAAGATGAGGCACATCCTACTAGTAATTGCACTGCTCGCTCCTCTGGCATCTTCAGCTAAACTAAGCTCAGATGTTTCAAAGATTCCTGCATCTGTGCGAACACTGAAGGAGCTTCACCGTGGGCCACCAATGCAGCTTATCAGCAAGCGAGCAAATGTGGAGACTCGCTGGATCAGTCAGAAACTGGACAATTTTGACGAAGACAATGAGGAAGTCTGGGATGATGTAAGATGTGATTATAAGATTTCTGGCCACTTTAACCACAGTGATCTTTAATTTTAGCGCGTATTGATCAATGAGGACCACTTCGTAGATGGTTCCCCAATCTTCATATACCTTGGCGGTGAATGGGAGATTGAGCCCAGTCCTATAACAGCAGGACATTGGGTGGACATCGCTAGCGAGCACAATGGATCATTGGTCTATACGGAACATCGATTCTTTGGCCAAAGCGTTCCCATTAAGTAAATGATTTAGATCCTAATACGCCAGTTAACTTAGATCCATTCTTTGATTATACCAACAGACCCCTGACAACTGCGAACCTCAAGTACCAAAATGTGGAACAAGCTTTAGCCGATGTTGTTAATGTAATTAATGTTCTTAAGGAGGAGGAAAAATATAAGAACTCTAAGGTGGTTGTGCAAGGATGTTCCTACTCGGCGACCATGGCGGTTTGGATTAAGAAATTGTACCCCGACGTAATTGTGGGCAGCTGGGCGTCCAGTGCTCCCTTGCAGGCTAAAGTGGACTTTAAAGGTGAGTAACCAGTCTCAAATATGATATCATAATAATGTTTTGTATCGTCTACTTTGTAGCTTATATGAAAGTTGTTGGCCAAGCATACAGGGAGCTCGGAGGAGATTATTGTTACAACATCATCGATAATGCCACTTCCTTTTATGAGGATTTGTTTGAAAACGGTCAGAATGCTGAGGCCAAGAAGCTCTTAAACCTTTGCGATAATTTCAATGAAAACGACCAACATGATCAGTGGCAAATTTTTAGCACAATTGCAAACATTTTGGCAGGCCTCGCCCAGTACCAAAAGTAATTATGCAACGCCCCCAATTTACGAAAGCTACATGTGTTTTTACTTCAATACAGCCCGGCAAACTATGACTTGGCCAAACATTGCTCAGTGCTTCGATCCTTTAGTACGGACGATGCCACGGCACTATCTAAGTTCATACAATGGCGTCTCGACAATCCAGAATGCGTTAACACCGTATATAAAGCAACTGTTAAATATTACAAGTGGGCAATGCATAACTATGATGGTTGTAAGTGACACCTTGTTAAATGAATGATGAATACTAAGTCTGACGAATCAAATAACTCTTTCTTAGCTAGTCTCAGCTGGTTCTTTCAAACATGCAACGAATTCGGCTGGTACCAATCCTCTGGTAGCAAGAATCAACCATTCGGCTCATCTTTTCCAGCCACCCTGTACACCGACACTTGTAAAGATGTCTTTGGATCAAAATACACTGCAGCTAAAATCGAAAAGTATATAAGCGAAAAAAACAAGGTGTACGGAGGTGTGAACCCTAATGTCGAGAACGTTTACATGACTCATGGAGGATTAGATCCATGGCATCCAGTTGGGGCCGGAGCAGCACAGGGTGCCACCATTATTCCCCAAGCTTCTCATTGTTCCGACATGGGTTCAATCAGTGCTAAGGACAGTCCTGCAATGCTCGCATCCAAGCAACGTGTGGCTCAACTGGTTCGCGAGTGGCTTGCCTGATATCCCAATGGGTTCAAAATTTTTTTAATCATAAAAAAATTTTAATTTTTGTATATTTCTATCTGTATATACACATTTAATTTTGCAATAAAGAACATATTTTAAAAGCCTAAATATTTATTTATTTAACTAAATTGTAATCTTAAGCATTATCAATTGTGGGACGAAAAAGCTAGGGCGTTCAGAGCACTATTAAAGGTACAATAATTCTTAACTATAATTTTATTTTCCCAAGTGCAGAACCCCAAGTGTGGTGCAAAGAGGTTCGTAAAGACCCGTGATCAGCTGCAATCAAGTCTTAACATTAAAGAGTTGTCATTATCATGGCTACATTCATGGATTTTTAATCAAAAATTAACAATGAGAATTATCTTCGTGTACCTTCGCAAACATCAGATAAGATGGTATTTCAAATAAGCAGATTATCAATTTAATACTATATTCGTCCCATTATAGACGAATAATAAAAAAAAATCACTATATTAAAAAAGTTAATACAAAATATAAGAATGGGTGAAAAGTCCTATTGAAATATGCTTTTATGAATTAACATATACTGTACAATGGAGAATATTGAATTTCTGGCCAGTTGCATGACTCCTCAGTCACAAACCGACCGAAGAATAGCTCGATCTAATCGGACTATCGTAGCAAATTTTAAATTATTTCTAGATATATTCATAGTCACTCGAAACTCTCTTTTTGTTAATGGAAACGCTTTCCAAAAGAGAAAGAGAAAGAGAAAGAGTAGTACTGTTTCTCAGGAAATTGCTTTATAACTTCTATAAAATGGAACAAAGAGAAATAGTTATCAACTCTCCAATTAGGACGACCTAAAATTGTATGGCCACATGACGTGCAAGACCACCAGTCCACGTGATCTAACACTTGTAACCGATTAAACTTATCATTGTTTTATAAATGTAACTTAAGTCTTAAATGTTTTAAAATATATTCCATATTCATTAACACTTATCTTGAATAGTTTAGACTCATTTTTTGTTTATAAATACGTCGCGTAGGAAATCATTTACCACATAAAGAACATATTTATTTACTATACACCTAATTTCCCATGCAACACAAAGTTTGAGGAGGTATCGAATTGTGGGCCTTTATCATTGATTAATGATTTATGCTCCCTTTACATTTAAAGTAATTTAGGGCTATTGGTCCAGAAATTTTCTTAGCAATCTTAAGGGCGGTTCCTAGTTATCAACTTTGGTGTCTCTAACATTAAATTGTAGAATATAAGTGATTTTATGCACTTTTCTGACTGATCCAAAAACAACCAATTAGTCTTGAATTTTTTCAAATTCTGATTTTTAAAATTGTTTGTTGTTGCCTAAAGGGTCGCACTGCTTTAGCCTATATTTTTTAGGAATTTAAATAATTTTAAGGAACACTAAGGCATTCTTTACAGAAAGTGTTATGGTGCACAAGTGTGCTTTATAAAAAGCATGTACTTATAAGATTTGAGTTTGACTTTATTATTTCAATCATCAAACTTAAAATCCAAAATGATCAATCCAATGGGTCGTGGAAAAAACTGCAGTGAGGAGATGCGCAATATCATAAAATGTGATATTGGATGGATTTCGATTGGTTGAGTTTTCTAATGAAAGCTTTACTTTAATAATGGCCAACCCAAAAATGGAGAAATATTTTATGAACAGATCAGAGTAGTTTTTAGGTTAAGCACACAAGTAAAAAATCATAATATTTCGGAAGTCTTTGAGCACAATTGGACTAAAGAACTGTCACAACTTGCTTGATTTAATCCCAAGACGTTTCTAATAAAGGTAGCGCTTCAGAATATTAAACTAATAAAATAATCTTATCTTAAATATATAATTATAACATAATTATTTACATATTTCTTAAATAGATAACTAACTCTTAAATCTTAAATATATAATTATAGCATCATTATTTACATATTTCTTAAATAGACTACTAAATGTAAATAATGATATTACTTCTTTTTAATTTGTATAATTAAAAGTGTAATTGTTGAAGAGTTTACCAATTTTTTATTAATTTTTTGTAAAGTAAATTAAATATGTTGCAAACAATGAATAACATAATCTATACATTTAGTTCGATACTTTTTTTTTATTTTCTACACTTTTTAGAGTCTTCACTTATATACATTTAAAAAAATAGATTGAAAAGCTTCAAAAGAGGAAACACAGTTCGTATTTACATTATGCCATAACCTGATATATTATCATGAAGATGTTATTCCCTTAAAGTGATAAACTATAAAGTGGAAGACGAATGACATATTAAAAGAAAATACATCTTAAAAAAATGTTTTGTAAATACAATATAAATTTTATTTAACACCTTTCCGTTGTTGTCTTATCCTAAAGTTTCTGGAGTAGTAAAAGCGTAAGTCAAGTTGTAAATCACATAAGCTCATTAATGTTATCTTTTGTGGAATTTGACAACCATCTTTTAAATATTAGTTCAATGTGTAAATTGCAGTTGATATGATGGCCTAATAAATGAAAAAAGTGTAAATTTAAATTGTTGGGCAATTATTATAATAATCGATGTAATCGTGGAATTTTTTTCAAACATTTTTTTTAATCTGTTTTATTTTTTTAAATTTCTTGAAATGATTTGAGATTCACATAAGTTTACAACTAAGAAATAAAGCAACAATCAACTGATCATCATAAGAAAATTCTCATCTGGAATAAATTTTTTCGTGATCTGGGTAACTGATATAAAATCCAGGTTTTTAAATGGTCTGCAAAGAATGTAAAATATTCTTACAGAGGAAAATCATCACATTTTAGCATTTCAGCCAAGATTATGTGTTCAAGACACTGTAATATAACTAACTAAAAGTACCTATTTTTGTTCTAAACCAAATAGTATAAAAGACAAAAAAGCATCTAAATAAACTTAAAAAAGCGGATGCGGTGATGCTTTCCATTCATACGCATTAGAAAAAATGTGTTATGCAAGCAAATTGTTTGCTTCTTATGCGAACATTGGTTCATTATATATAGGGATGTTATAAATCATTAAAATACAATTTCGCGTCTACAGGTCTTATGCGGCTATGTTAATTAAAGTCTGTTAATAATGTGTGAGTACAGAAATAACAATGCAAGAACAATGAAAATAACAAAACAGCAATTCCTTTTGAACTCCTCAAATAGTAGTAGGTTATTTAACAAAATGTACTGCTTTGATATTTTCGTAAAAAGTCTAAGTAGATATAAGACACATGTTAATCTGACATTAATTTGAACATTTTAAATTTAAGTGCTGTAAAAAAATAATAATAATAAAATAACATAATAAACAGAAAGAATTAAAAAAAAAAAATATTGCCTACACGTGTGACCAGTCGAACAATTCGTCACGATCACAGATTTCGAGTCTATGACAGACAAGACAGCTGCTCTAGTCTAACACTCTAGACTAGGGGATATTCTGAAGTCTATAACTATAAAGAACACGTCTTTGATATATAAACCAACACAATTAAAAATGCGCATAAGGTATATGTAGAAAATATTGTGATTACAGCTGTATACTTTGATATACATATATGTATATTTTGAGATCAGAGATACTTCCTTCTGGCTGTTACATTCGTTTACACAACTTCATTATGCCCCTTTTACCCATTTTTAATGTAAAAAAAAATGTGTATACACCCAATGAATTGCACTAAATTCAGTGACGTGATAAGCATGACAAGAATGTGATGGACAGACATACAGCCGTCACTTAAAGACCTTGCTACAATTTCGAAAATGTCAGAAATATTGAATGCAAACAAAATCAAGACGCGCATATTAATGATGCAATGATATGGTCGGTACTCTACTATCGAAGCTCTACACAAGATACAATTTGTTTATAAATGGCACAAAAATACATTTAATGAGCTGATCTCATATTTAATTTAAAATGTAACTGGTACAATTTTGAGGGCCTTCGGCCATTTCCGTTAGCGGTCAGTGAAATGCCAAAGTGCTGCGTTCTTTCTGGTCAAATTATTTTGGTATGCGAAAGCGACATGGCCAGCAAATACTTTTGGGGCTATGGAGTTATCTTTCTCACACACTGGTGTTTTAGTTATTTTATTGAAAGAGAAATACCAATTTTTTTTGGAATTTTATAAATTCTTGTGGAAATTGGATGTATTTCTTTGGGTTTTGCTGCTCAAGTGAATTTGTGGCATAATTCATGATGATTAATGGTCAGATAGGTCGATTGGTTTGGTTTTATAATCCGACATTTTTTTTGATTAAGATTTAAAGTAAAAATCAAAAAATGTTGTTAAATCACTAACTCTTTGTATAGTTATAGGCATTAATCTGTGGAATAAACATTCTAATTATTAACAGTTAAAGTATTAACAATAAATTTAATCAAAAAGCATAATGGTTAATGAACCTACTTGAAATTGAACTGTAAAAATCCCTTGATAAACTTTAATCATCCCTCGATTAACTAATTCAAAAAATAAATATTCTAGATAATTCCCGACAATGACACACAGCTCGTATTACATTAAACATAAAAAAGCAATAACACAAAAGCATTTTTGCCGGGAGCGATGAGCCTCTCAAAAAAAGCCGCTAAAAAGGAACAGGCCATGCCAAAATGCCAAGAAATTAGTCAACACAGACTTTGGCGAACAATTTCGAGCCTGAGAACCAAACACTAAAACAGGCGAGAAGACAAACACCAAATTACTTCGCAGCAGCGCAAATAACAAATAAAAATCAGTGACAAAATGATTTAAGAACCAAGCGAACATTTTCACACGAAGCCCAGCAGCCAAAGTCACAAATCGAATCGAATCAAGGCAAACAGAAACACTCACAATAAGTACTGTATCCTTTTGGCTGAGAATTTGTGGTGGTTGCTTACCTTGGCAGTGTCATTGTTCCGATAAAGATCGCAATGTGTAAATCATGGTGAACTGCTCGGTCGACGGTGACGCCGATGCCGACGCGCACACAAATGTGAACCAGCGCGCATTGCATTAACAAGTAGTCGAGCAAATGGATACAAGCGCTGCCAACAAGCTGCTCCTTTCTGCAGCGCCCACACATAAATTAGCTAGATGGCAATTGGAGCCACTGGAGCTCGGCACATTGTCATAGACCTTCCCAATATCTAAGCTCTGAGGAACTCTGAATAACGCTACAGATGCGATTCATTTTATAATCCGCTTCTGGCGTACTCAGAAAAAAGATTACATTTATTATTCAAAGTATATTTTCAAAAACTAATGTTTTTTCTTAGTTTCACTGCAAAATTTTCTAAAATTTTCAATTTATATCTGTATCCAACCCGAAACTCTCCGTTCGGGAGCATTATATTATTTTCTGAATTTCAGATGGGATTTTTTCGAAGAATCAGGGCTTACTTTTATGCTTATCTTAATGATAAGAAATATTTGTTGATTGCCGATATAGGGCAGGCCTTTCCAATTGTTGGAATACTTGTTTCTTATATTTAGAAAGTATTTCTAAAAACAAGAAAAACTCTCTAAAATTCAAAGCGATTTTTTTCTGAGTGTAGCCGCACTGTCGCATCAGACCTGCAGTCACCTCTGGCATATCATCCGACTGCCGCATTATACAAAGCGTGCCCATTTCAATGCTAAGCATTTTATGGAAGCGATTGCTTCAACTCTACATACTTGACAGGTCGTAAACCCATGGATAAGACCCATTTGCCTAAAGAGACTTTGTGCGCACCTGACACACCAATGTCGTCTTTGTCTTTTCTCAGACTGAACTCATTGGGTTATTCTTAGGACCTTGTCTTTCTGTTTTTGATGATCGGCAATGGGTAAGTCATCCCCAGAAATTTTCGTGTATGCCTGGCGATCTAGCGCATTATATTGTCCTAATTCATTGGTTTATAATAACGGTTGAAGTACTTTTAACATCGGGTGCCTTTAGACAACAACCTTTAAATCCCATTGTGTAAGTGTGCCATTAGGAATTTTTGTTACTCTTCCCAAATCTGAAGAACAATCGTTAGACGGTTGTTTCTCTTTAAGTTTTGAATAATTTGTATAAATGCAGCACTGACCCAAATAATGTATATGGGCTATACCTATTTGATTAATTACAGCAATATAATTGTGAGATTTTTGTTACGCAAAAAATATATTTTTTTTTATAAAATGTAGTACTTTTTTAGGATTGTTGGAGTGCATAGAGATCACGAATAAATTGTGAATGAGAAGGAAGGTTACCAAGTATTGGATCCGAATTCAGTTCATTTCTTTGGACTCTGCCTATGTCAACCATAGTATTCGACTAGAAACACATCAAGAATATGAGAAGTATTGGCAAGCTTCTCTTGTAGTCAGGCACAGTTAAAAATTTTTAGCGCTTCTCTTGTAGCCAGGCACAATTAAAAACTTTTAAGGGGCTATAACAATAAATGTGCGGACGAGTGTCTGAACATAAGTAAAAACTATCTACGGATTCTAACGAGCTGCCTGAAAGTACACTGCAGGATCTGCAAACATTTACAAACATAACCTAAGAATTGTGGAATATTTTACGTTCCGTCATCTCGTAAGGAGAATCTTCTACAGTTTTTTACAGTTTCTAAGTTTATAGAGATAGAACCAAGGAATATAAAACGGTTTGACTTTGTTTGTTTTCCAGACTTACAGGCAGAGATAGGCTTACCTAATCGCCGTTTAGAAGACACTGCAATGATCAGGTAGCTTGAAATAATGATTTAAGAACTTATTTTTAGAGTAGAACCCCACAACTTTGAACCAGGAAGTATGGAAATATCATCATATCATATCATTATACACCTTAAAACATTGAAAACCAAATCATTTTCAAATTTCTGTTGAAATACATCTTTCAAACTTACCGTATCAGCTGCAGTTAAATTAATGCCTAAACCGCCGGCGCGCGTTGATAGCAGGAAAACAAAGATATCGGCACGGGTCTGGAAATCAGCGACCATGTCGCGGCGAGCTGAAATCTTACTGGAGCCATCGAGACGCATATAGCGGTGCTTGCGATGCCACATATACTCCTGCAAATAGGACAAGCATTAGCAAAGACTGTACAGCAAGATATATAATATTTAGACGCACCTCCAGCAGGTCAATCATTTTGGTCATTTGCGAGTAGATCAGGACACGATGACCCTCGGCTTTGAGGCGTGTGAGTAGACCATCGAGCACAGACAGTTTGCCAGCATCTGTTATAAGTGTCTCCTTATCGGGCACCACAATCGACGACCAACCACTGCGCGGACGACACAGCGCCAAGCCTGTGGCCACCAGCTCCCTACCCACAATATTCTCGCACTGCACGTGGCGTATTTGCGTCCAGGCAGCGCCGCGACTTTCGCAACTGTCACACAGAAGTTATCACAAATTATTAGTTACAGTAGATTAAAAATACATTGAATGCTAAGCAATTCTACTCACTATAAATGCCGATCGACGGCCTGCACCCGCTGACCCAATCCGTAGAGAAAACGAGGAATCTGTAGCGGTTCGCATTCGTAGCGTTGCGGTTTGCGCGGATGATGCGGAAACTCGGGCAGCAAATGCAATGTTGTTACTTTGACATCGCTCTTGGTATTCGATTTCGTCTGCACTTCCACTGATTCCATTTCTAGCTCTTGCTTTATACTGCACGCCTCAGAATTCACTTGCGTTTGACCATCGTTTTCGCAAAGCTGCTCAATTTTAGGCGTCTTCTGCTTGATTGTTTTTGAACGTGTCACACGATGCTCGATCGTTTCCTGCATGTTGACAGTGATGTAATCGCCAAAGGCATACACGCTGCTATCTCGAGATGTCTGCAAAAATTAGAAGGTAATAAAATTAGGTGAGGATTCGTAATTTCCGCAAATCAATATAATTTAAAATCTAAAAGTCTAGGAGATGTAAGTAGACTGTGCTATTAAAAGTAATAGAAGTGCTGCTGAAATTAATCGGAATAGTTTAAGCCAAGCTATTTTATAAGGTTAATTGAGTGAAATTCATATATTTAGTAGAGTAGAGTAGAAGACTTGGAAAATCAATGAAAATCATAACAGAAGGAAATACTGTCGAAAATAGCTGCTGACCTTAAGGTTTTACTACTTAAAAGCAAAAATCTTATATAAATATTAATATAAATAGCATTAACGTTGCTATTAGTAGCTATTTTCAGATCTTGAACATATATATCTTTAGAAGCGGATATTTCTGATGAGCGTTAGTAAACGTGGTATGGTAATAGTATTTATAAAAATACTTATAATTAATATAAATTAATTTGACCCAAAGGAAATCCTAAAAGGTTATACCACTATTATTATTTTGAGTGGCGGGCTTTATATAAATATCGAGACTGGCGATTTTATAAATATTTTTAAGCCTGTGATCTTTTAATGTTTATTTATCTTAGCAAAATTTTGCATAATTTTGTAAAATATTCGAACTGTTGTTTCTTGTATGAACTCATTTTACAATTCAAGTATGTTTTTCAGGTGCAGGTCAAGTGTTCAAGATGAATCGCGACGGTATTCGAAATATATCTCGGAATACATGCAATATAAAAAACACTTCCCTTGGTTCCAAAAGATATGTGCACTTATTGGAGAACCACATCTTACAGCAGTTAAATAAAATAATCAAACAAAATCAATTTCTTGTTTGTGCATTTTACAATAACTTAACCAAAATGACTTATTATCCTTATAGCAATATCTTAAACTACAATTCTAAACAAAATAACTTACATTATGTCGTGCAATGAAATCTCATCTATCTATCTAAATTTAAGGTATTGTTCTTTAAAAATGCGGTTGAATCAACTGAAAATCTCAATTGCGCACGTAAATCATTGAAAGTGAGTTTCAAGCCGTTTGAAATAGTTAACAGATTTCCAACATTTTCGGGTGGAATATTACAAATTTCCGTATTTATGTTTGTTTTTTTTTATATAGATATTGATGTTGTACTACCTAACTCTCGTAGAGTTGATTTGCGAATTGTGAATCGACACCATATAGGGTCAGACACAAACACATAAAAAACATTCATCAAAATCAGTGCAGTCTTTTAGAAGGATTGACAGATTATACAGACACTTTTATACTTATAGATAAAGACAAACAAACCATTGCGGTAAAGATGAACTGCCTTAAGACACTGTTCGTGAGCATAAAGTCTGGTAAGAGTTTGCGCTCTAGCAGTGGCTCCATCAGTTGGTAACGAGTGTTGCGCAGATGCGGCCACCACTGGCGACGATAAGAGAGCAGTGGCTGCTTCTCAAGCACGCGACGGTAGTGCAACAAACTGCGGGAAGAGCACAAAAATGAGTATAGAGAGAGCAACACGAATTGCAAATTAAATACGAACAAGTCGATAAGGCCATGCCAGGTCACATCCTCTGTGTCAGACAGGGATAAGTCGTACAAGCGGGTAAAACTGAAGCAGCTATCAACGCTGACATCGTCAAACAAAGATCGCTGCATGTGGGCCGACTTGAAGATGTTGAAGCTGTCAAATAGGCAAACCAGATTAAAATCAAATGAAAATAGTAAACCTGATAACCACTCACCGATTATAAAGCAAGTGCTTCCGACTGGGCAACGCTCTGTGGAGCAGTCCATCGTCAAAAACTAAGCGAGGTAAAACAAACTCGGCACAGCGCATGCTGAACGGACTTTTGGCATCGCGCCGCTCAAATAGCTCCGGGTGATTGCACACTTTGCGGAACTGCATGACCAGATTCATAAGATTCGAGGTGAAGTTGCGGTCCAGAATGCCACCATCCGATGCCGCCGATGCGGCTGTCGAGCCACCACTGGCCAAATGCAGTAAATCCTCGATGCGTATCTTTTGCTTCAGTGCTCTATAGAGCAGCTTTTGACGTATTGTCAGCGGGCAGTAGACCATAATCTCAATCTTATCGGACAACTCGTTCTCCACATCCTTCTTGATGCGACGCAGCATGAAGGGTTTGAGTATCATGTGCAGACGAGAGATTTGCCTCTCATCGATTCCCGTTTTGTTCTCCGCATGCGATTCAATGTCCTTAGAGAACCACTCGTTGAACTCATCATGCGAATCGAATAACGTGGGCATTATAAAATGCAGCAGCGCCCACAGCTCCGCCATGCTATTCTGTATGGGTGTCCCGCTCAGCAGCAGGCGATTGCGACAATTGAAGCCCAACAGGAGCTTCCAGCGTTGCGAGGCGGCACTCTTGATAGCCTGCGCCTCGTCGAGGACCATATATTGCCACTTGATGCGGTTGAAGTACTTATAATCGCTGACCACTAGCTGGTAGGAGGTGATCACCACATGGAAGCTCGCTTCGCGTGTATGCAAATGCTTCTGATCCCAGAATTGGCGTAGGATTTTACGCTCGTTCGGCGAACCCCAGTAGGGAACTACATTGAAATCGGGCGCAAAACGGGCCATCTCCTGCTGCCAGTTGTGGAGTGTCGAGGCGGGCGATATGATTAGAAACGGGCCCCACACCCCGTAATGCTCGGCAATGTGGCAGAGGAACGCAATGGATTGCACCGTCTTGCCCAGACCCATCTCATCTGCTAGGATGCCGCTAATGCCCTGATCATAGATATTGGCCAGCCAGGTCATGCCTTTGATCTGATACCCCTTCAGTGTGCCCTTAAACATATTCGGTTGCGGCAAATCCTTCATTTGCTTACGCGCATGCTGCGGTAACGATTGCTCCAACTCCTGCAGCTGCTCCAACATTTGCTCCCTCTTGATAGGCACATTGAATGCGCGCGTCTTGTCCAAATCCCGTTGAATTGCTGCCTCGGCATTCGCCTGCGCCAGCTGCTTCATTTCGCCCGCATCGTAATTATCGTGGGCAGCCAGTCGGACATTGTGCTCCTCATCCAGCTGGCTGAGTATACGCAACTGATCCGCCTCGCTGCCCTGGCCCAGTTTCTTGGACATGAAGTGAGCGTAGAGCTCCGTTTGAGTAATCAAGAAATTGAGCTTACGCTGCTGCCGCTTTACCTCGATTAGCTCCACATCCTGTTTCCGCTGCTCCTCAGCCTCGCGCTCCTGTTTTCGACGCTGATCGCGCTCGACCCGCTCATAGCGCTTCCAATAGTTGAGCATTTCGCGGGTCAGGCGTTTGGCCCGCCACACCGTCTCCTTCATGGTGCGTTGGGAGTTGAGTGCACGCTGGCGCACAACCTTGGCACACATGCCCGCGACGCGCTTGCAATTAGCCAGCATCTCTTTATGATTATTGCTTTTAATGCGTTGCAGCCGGCCGGACTCCTTTTTCGACATAATTTGCCAGATGCGACGACGGCGCGCCGCCAACACTTCCGGATTCTTGCGACGGCAACGCACACGCGTAACTTGGCCATCCGTCGCGCCCACCACATCCACTTCCTCCTCGATTTCCTCGTCCTCGTCGGGATAGTCCAGTGCCAAATTGGCCAACTCCCGTTTGTAGTCAACCATCTCTCCATTGTCCTCCTCATCTTCTTCGTTCGCGGGCAGCGTGTCCCCAAAGCAATACTTGCCCAGCTCTGACGGCGGCACCTCGCCCGACTCCGGCGAGTCGAGTATGCTGCGCTTCTTCCGCCCTCGCCTACGCTGTTTAACGGGCTTGGGGCCCGCCTGCGCTTCAGCCAGACGCGCCAGCAGTATCTCCTGCTTTGTGCGACGCCGCCGCTTGCGCACCCCAACGGTGGCCTGTTGGCGCTCTGCATAGACGTCATGATTGGACAGCAAGCCACTGCCATAGTAGGCATATTGAGCATTCTGCAACATCAAAAGGAGTTCAAAAAGGCGTCATTTAAAATTTGGGGCAGTTGACTTACCGTTGGCTTCTTGTAGTAGTTCTTGCGCTGACGCTGCTCCTGTATGTGCTCGCGCAGCATTTGATGAATGTACTCATTCTCGTCGCTCACTGCGTGCCCCTCGCTCTCCGTATCGCTAAGCAGGGCATCGTAGAGCCACTCCCGATCGCTGGTCAGATCATTGAAATTGTATATTTGCGCCTTGACACTCTGTCGTTCTGCAAAGATAAATAGTTTTAATGAGTAAACTTAACTCCTCTACTCAAATCATAAGTTTAATTACCTTCTTTGCTGCCCAGGAGACGTTTGCGTCGTTTCTGTTTGGGCTTTAGTCTGACAACGCCCACCTGAGTGGAGGAGTCATCGGAGTCAATGCACTGCTCCTCATTAGCATCCAGCTCTGTGGCGCTGCCCTCGCCACTCCCACTGCTCAGTGGCTGCTTGAGCACCTCACGAGCCATCTGCATGAAGGGGCGCATATTTAGAGCCGTCTCCAGGCGCTGTATGTGCAACGGTTCGGCCATAGCCCGTGGTTTTGTTGCTGTCGCATGCGCCATATTGCGTGGATAATTTAATTTATATTTTATGCACTTTGCGTAATCCCTTTTTTTTTTGTTTAGCTGGGAAATTTCCGATTGGGGGCATTCAATTGAAGAGATGCAAATTTCCGTTAAGTTGGCGCTGCACTGGATGCTTCAAAATGAGATTCGAATGAATTCCGATTAAAATGTATCACGTAATTGAGCTATTTTCATGCATGCGTTGCGTAAAAAATGCACGCCTCTTTTTGTATGTTGCGGTACACACTTTTTTACGGGGCCACTCGCTACACACAAGCACATTTAGACGGCCAAACAAATAATATTCTTCTCGGCTCTTACACTTCATTGTTGTTGTTAGCAGGGTTGCGTGCAGGGTTGCATTCGCTGTGCTACTAACAGTGCTGGGCAGTACACTCAAAACGAGTAAATAGTTGTCATGCAATTTACACAAAATATAAATTACTTAATTACTTGCATTATTTGTCTTTTATTTCACAAACTCTATATATGAATGTCATTAGTATTTGGCAAACACCTTCCATATATATGCAATAGTGCGCCTGACGCACGCATCATTGTGCTTACGAACTCGCTATACAACACTGCATACAGCCCTTCTATGCATTTATCAATACTAAAGCAACGCAGTCAGCTGCTAATAATGTCGTGGCAAACCGGGTTAATCAAAACAATTTTGGACCCTGCTAATCTAATTATATCAACGGATACAGCAGTTGTAATTGCCGATAAATATCCAAAAGCCCGTCATCATTATCTTGTGCTACCAACCGAGGACATTCCCAACATTTTTCAGGTAAAGATAGCATATCCTCAAGGCAAAAGAATCGAGTTTTTTTTTTTAATTTGTAGTTGAGCAAAAAACATTTGCCACTGCTGGAAGAAATGCATTTGTTAGCACGCAATATTATTGAAGTGCGCGGCGAAAGTTGGTCGGAATTTCAAATTGGATTTCATGCTCAGCCGAGCATGCAACGTTTGCATTTGCACGTCATTTCAAAGGATTTCGTATCTAGCGCGTTGAAGACCAAAAAACATTGGAATAGCTTCAATACGCCGTTCTTTGTGCCGTACGAAAGTAAATTGGCCGAAAAATGTACTTATTTACATACTTATTATACATGTATTTTATAGCACTTTATTCCAGGCTCAAAGGCGAGGACTGCTTTCAACGTTTACCCACAGATATTGTGAACGGGCTGCTTGCCAGTCCTCTAAAATGCAATAAGTGTGAATTTATTGCAAAAAGCTTTCCAATGCTTAAGGATCATCTGCAACAACACTGACTAACACTGCAAGCAAAGCAACAATAATTCAAATATTACACGTATGCGTGTGCATATGTGTGTGTGCATGCAAAGCCGTCTGCGCAGTCTTTGCAACACTGTCGAATAAAATTCACAATTATTCGATTACCGATTGAAGTTGATTTAGTGTGGTTTTAAGTTCTCTGTGATTACATCTAAGAAAAATGGCCGATAAGAAGGAAGCTGCAAAATGCAGCTTGACACGTATATTGCAAAAGAAACGGGAATGTCTAATTGAAACTGAACTAGCAGCAGTCATGAAAGATGCTTATCCCAAGGCGCAATATCATTTTCTGGTCGTGCCCAAAGAGGACATTTCCAATGTGACTGCGGTAATTCAATAAATAAGTAAATAAAAATCAATTCCATTCTCTGCTAATCTATGACCTAGTTCAGATGACGGCGGATCACTTACAGCTCTTGGATCACATGAAGGAGCTGGCAAATCAAATAATCGAACAGCAGAAAAATTTGCCCTCCAGTCACTTTCTGATTGGCTTCAAGATCGATCAGTTTATGAATCGTCTTTGCATGCATGTAATTTCCAATGATTTCTACTCGGAATCCATGCGACGCAAACAGCACTGGAACAGCTTCAACACTGCCTTGTTCCTCACCTATCAAACGGCTTACGCCCTGCTGCGTGTCCAGGGATTCATTGAGCCAATGCCCGAGGAGGAGATGCAAAAGTTGCGAAATTCAATTGAATTGCGATGCAATCAATGCGATTTTGTTAGCAAGGGTTTGGTGGTTTTGAAGGCTCACCTCTTCACACATTGGAAGGAGCGAGAGGACAAGTTTACGATCAAAGATCAAGTGGAAAAACTCACTCGCATTTTGGACGAAACCAAATTGACGCCAATCGCTAAAGTGCTGGAAGATCAATCTCAGCGCATTGTTCCGTCCAAGGGACAGCAACAGGGCGATCAACAGTCGCCGCCGGCTTCATATCTAAATACGTTCGCGAGCCACTTTCCAAGGACAGTGTCCAATCGATCAGCTAGTTCTGGAAACCACCAAACAAATCCTAATTGGCAAAGGGCTAACCAAAATCCACATATGAACTCGAATAATTCGGTATTCAATCAGCAATTTCAGCATTTTTCAAATTATCGTCTGGGCCATTCCCCAAATAATTTGAGGACATCGTCCCACAGGCCTGCTGGTCCTGGAAACCATCAAACAAATCCTAATCCTGGTCAGCATGCTCCAAAGTGGCGAAGGGCCAACCAAAATCCACAAATGAACTCTAATAATTCAATATTCAATCAGCAATTTCAGCTGGGCCATGCTCCAAATAATGTTAACATGCCGCATCAGGCTCCATTCAATCCATTTAAGCAATATCCCAACATGAGGCAAGCGGCTCCTAACAAAAATGGCTCCCATGCCACGCCCCAAAACATGAACAATATTAATGGAGCAGAGTGTTCTCCACCCTTGAATATTAAACAGCAAGGCAGCAATTACTCAAAGCCGAATATACATAAATGTTTGGGCTCACAACAGTTCGCAAATACTGTTAATCAGGGTCAGAATCCGTCTCAGGCCAACAAACCGAAACCATTCAAGGAAAACCCAGCCTCGAAAACAAAAGCAAAATCAAAATAAATAAGAAACTCATTAAATATATTTGTTTGGTCAAACTAATTCAAACACAGCTGATCGCGGCTTTGCACAACACTGGTGGAACTTATTCACTTATGTTAACAATACTTGTAATTTAGTAACAATATTCATATATATATATATAAGACATATTTAATTACATATGCATATGCATATATATATATATATATATATATATATATAAGACATTTAATTACATATGCATATGCATATATATATATGAATATTGTTACTAAATTACAAGTATTGTAAACATAAGTGAATAAGTTCCACCAGTGTTGTGCAAAGCCGCGATAAATTGACAGCTATATGAATATATGTATATATATATATATGCATATGCATATGTAATTAAATATGTCTTATTATTATTTTGTTACCTTAAAAGTAGTAAAATTCACATTTAATAAATGTTGCACTTAAATTAAATTCAAAATCAGAGAAGTAATCTATTTAATATTAGGGGGTTTCCCACGATATATTTAAAGACACATTTCCAGTCTTAAATGCAGATATAAGTAACCGGGGCAGAGTAGTTTGCGGTTGAATTTTCTACGTCATACTATGATTGGCAATAATAAGTGAGTACTCTTTCAAATATCACTCTGTTCGGGCACTCAGGCGTAGTACAAAAAAAGCTATGGAGGCAATCTTAAAAGCGCTGTGACGTCACTAACGCTGATTTTTGGGTTGGGGGCATTGCAAAACTGCAAAAATAGCAACCTTTTCTTGCGCTCATTTGGCTGAGCAAACAATGTTTTCAGCACTGTGCAGCTACATTTACTTTCAGTTCGATTAAAAGCTTTTAGTCTGATTCCTTATTTGAGTGCAGTTTGATCTGTTTTCTTTTTTTTTTCTTACATAATTAAGGATATGGAGGAACAAGAGAAGGATGTGGAATTTCTACGCGGCCTCTTGACCCGCAAAATGGAAACTGGCGAAGATGTTGTCCTTCAATCCGATCGAGCAGCTGTTCTGCGTAATGTAGATTGCCCAAAGGCTCAAATTCATTTCATTATTTTGCCCAAGCAGGATATTGCGCATGTGACTGCGGTGAATATACATATTATATATATATATATGTTATATGTTCAAAAAATAATTGTTTCTTGCTCCAGCTAACGCCCAAACACTTGCCTCTGCTAGATCATATGATGGAGCTGGCCAATCAGATAATTGAGAAAGAAGAATTGCCTTCGAGCAATTTTCGGGTTGGCTTCAAGATAAATGCATTTATGAGTCGTTTAAATATGCACGTGATTTCCGATGATTTCTGTTCGGAGTACATGCGGCGCATTAACCAGTGGAATACCTTCAACAGTGACTTATTCATCACTTATCAGGCCGTATACGCCCTGCTGCTGACCAAAGGCTACATTGAGCCCTTGTCCGCCGATGTGATTGAGAAATTGCGGAGGGCGACCCCAGTGCATTGCAATCAATGCACTTTTATCACTGGCAATTTTGAGAAGTTTAAGGCGCATTTGTATTACCATTGGAGCAAACGAGAAGGGGAGCGAGAGCGTCTTCTCGGAATGGGCGTGTCAAATTTGACGCCATCGTTGGGCGAATTGCATTTGAATGGCACTCGCAGCAACTTTTGCGGAGCTGCTCAACCGAAGCAATTTCCATTTACCTTGCATTCGAATGTGAAAGCGCTGCCTCTACGCCATCAGCCAGGAATACTTGGTTCTTATCCCCCAAGATCCCTCAATATGAATTATCAGAAATCTAACCACAGCCCATCGAGCCACAAACACCCAGATTATAAGCCAATTAAGCAGGTTGTAAAAGAATCTCAGAAAACAAATGCAAATCAGGCTGGTGACCCTCCATCAAATGCTAATGCCAAACAAACTGTGGATCAGGCTCAAGATCAGCCAGTCAAAACAAAGCCATTTGTCAACAAAAAGAAATAGTATAAGAAAAACAAAAAGCCCGCCTTGCTAAAGTACCAGGAATCCTGTGGAAATGGCAAAACATCTGCTGATGGCTAAAACTATTTTAATTAAAAACTTATATACATACACATATATTTACTTGACGAACATTTTATTCAACACATTATTATTTTAATATATATTATAAAATATAATATAATATATATTAATATATATATATTTTTTTATAAAATAACCAAAAAATAAACATTCTAAAACGTATTTCCTAAAAATATATTTTCAGTTGAATTTTGGGGAAAATATATGTAACTTAATTTTACAAAACTACAAATTTAATTGTAATTGTGTACGCTTCTTCTTCATCGCTTGAAATATACAATAAATCTGCCTGTTTCTGCTATACATAATTTTTTATTTTGGTTTTAATTCTGTGCTAAATAATGTTTTATTTTGTGCATTTTATTAGTGCTGTGACTTTGTCAAATCTTTGTTTAACAACAACAACTAACAATCAGGCTTGACTTGCGTAGTTGCATCGTTATTCTGCTAATATTTAGTTTTTGTATTTTATTTTTATTCCTTATCTTGGTTTTTTGTAGATATTTTCTGCGTTATGCTCTCTCTTCATTTCTCTCTCTCTCTCGCTTTTCGTTCCCGTTGCGATTCAAACTTTGCATCCGCTCATTTAACATTTGTCTAACATTGTTGTTGTGTGCTGGATAACATCCGTAATTTGTCAACCCTTTTATTTCATATACTTTTACTTCTTATTTTATTTATTTAAAAAATTTTCTAACTTAGCAATAAGTACTATGAATAATGTCTTATTATAGCATTAAACTAGGCGTTCGACTCGAGTCATCTTCATTCCTCGATTACTTTTTGCAGTGATCTTTACAAATTTATTTATTTATTTTTGTAATTAGCTAAAATGTTTTCAAAATATATGCTACATTAAATATTCCAATTTATTTTAATTTTTTTAATCTGATGTAGCGAAAAATACCAAGCATCCAATCAATGAAATAATTGTTTTTGATATTGTACTTCAATCAAAATTCAATATAATACGAGTATATATCTAATATAGTACAATATATAAAATGGTAAACTGTGTATATCAATTTTATTTATTTATTTATTTTATGGGTAACAGCGATTTCCTACCAGGTAATACAAAACTGTTTTATGTAGCTACATTTGCCTCAAATTTGTTGTTCTTGTCGAATGAGTAGGTTAAACGCGATTTCAGCTAATTATGTGCAGCTAATTATGTGAAGCTAATTATGTGAAGCTAATTATGTGAAGCTAAGGAGGCAATCTTCAAAGCGCTGTGACGTCACTAACGCTGATTTTTGGGTTGGGGGCATTGCAAACTGCAAGAATAGCAACCTTTTCTTGCGCTCATTTGGCTGAGCAAACAATGTTTTCAGCACTGTGCAGCTACATTTACTTTCAGTTCGATTAAAAGCTTTTAGTCTGATTCCTTATTTGAGTGCAGTTTGATCTGTTTTCTTTTTTTTTTTCTTACATAATTAAGGATATGGAGGAACAAGAGAAGGATGTGGAATTTCTACGCGGCCTCTTGACCCGCAAAATGGAAACTGGCGAAGATGTTGTCCTTCAATCCGATCGAGCAGCTGTTCTGCGTAATGTAGATTGCCCAAAGGCTCAAATTCATTTCATTATTTTGCCCAAGCAGGATATTGCGTATGTGACTGCGGTGAATATACATATTATATATATATATATGTTATATGTTCCAAAAATAATTGTTTCTTGCTCCAGCTAACGCCCAAACACTTGCCTCTGCTAGAACATATGATGGAGCTGGCCAATCAGATAATTGAGAAAGAAGAATTGCCTTCGAGCAATTTTCGGGTTGGCTTCAAGATAAATCCATTTATGAATCGTTTAAATATGCATGTGATTTCCGATGACTTCTGTTCGGAGTACATGCGGCGCATTAACCAGTGGAATACCTTCAACAGTGACTTATTCATCACTTATCAGGCCGTATACGCCCTGCTGCTGACCAAAGGCTACATTGAGCCCTTGTCCGCCGATGTGATTGAGAAATTGCGGAGGGCGACCCCAGTGCATTGCAATCAATGCACTTTTATCACTGGCAATTTTGAGAAGTTTAAGGCGCATTTGGATTACCATTGGAGCAAACGAGAAGGGGAGCGAGAGCGTCTTCTCGGAATGGGCGTGTCAAATTTGACGCCATCGTTGGGCGAATTGCATTTGAATGGCACTCGCAGCAACTTTTGCGGAGCTGCTCAACCGAAGCAATTTCCATTTACCTTGCATTCGAATGTGAAAGCGCTGCCTCTACGCCATCAGCCAGGAATACTTGGTTCTTATCCCCCAAGATCCCTCAATATGAATTATCAGAAATCTAACCACAGCCCATCGAGCCACAAACACCCAGATTATAAGCCAATTAAGCAGGTTGTAAAAGAATCTCAGAAAACAAATGCAAATCAGGCTGGTGACCCTCCATCAAATGCTAATGCCAAACAAACTGTGGATCAGGCTCAAGATCAGCCAGTCAAAACAAAGCCATTTGTCAACAAAAAGAAATAGTATAACAAAAACAAAAAGCCCGCCTTGCTAAAGTACCAGGAATCCTGTGGAAATGGCAAAACATCTGCTGATGGCTAAAACTATTTTAATTAAAAACTTATATACATATACATATATATTTACTATATATATACATATATTTACTTGACGAACATTTTATTCAACACATTATTATTTTAATATATATTATAAAATATAATATAATATATATTATAATATATATATTTTTTTATAAAATAACCAAAAAATAAACATTCTAAAACGTATTTCCTAAAAATATATTTTCAGTTGAATTTTGGGGAAAATATATGTAACTTAATTTTACAAAACTACAAATTTAATTGTAATTGTTTACGCTTCTTCTTCATCGCTTGAAATATACAATAAATCTGCCTGTTTCTGCTATACATAATTTTTTATTTTGGTTTTAATTCTGTGCTAAATAATGTTTTATTTTGTGCCTTTTATTAGTGCTGTGACTTTGTCAAATCTTTGTTTAACAACAACAACTAACAATCAGGCTTGACTTGCGTAGTTGCATCGTTATTCTGCTAATATTTAGTTTTTGTATTTTATTTTTATTCCTTATCTTGGTTTTTGTAGATGTTTTCTGCGTTATGCTCTCTCTTCATTTCTCTCTCTCTCTCGCTTTTCGTTCCCGTTGCGATTCAAACTTTGCATCCGCTCATTTAACATTTGTCTAACATTGTTGTTGTGTGCTGGATAACATCCGTAATTTGTCAACCCTTTTATTTCATATACTTTTACTTCTTATTTTATTTATTTAAAAAAATTTCTAACTTAGCAATAAGTACTATGAATAATGTCTTATTATAGCATTAAACTAGGCGTTCGACTCGAGTCATCTTCATTCCTCGATTACTTTTTGCAGTGATCTTTACAAATTTATTTATTTATTTTTGTAATTAGCTAAAATGTTTTCAAAATATATGCTACATTAAATATTCCAATTTATTTTAATTTTTTTAATCTGATGTAGCGAAAAATACCAAGCATCCAATCAATGAAATAATTGTTTTTGATATTGTACTTCAATCAAAATTCAATATAATACGAGTATATATCTAATATAGTACAATATATAAAATGGTAAACTGTGTATATCAATTTTATTTATTTATTTATTTTATGGGTAACAGCGATTTCCTACCAGGTAATACAAAACTGTTTTATGTAGCTACATTTGCCTCAAATTTGTTGTTCTTGTCGAATGAGTAGGTTAAACGCGATTTCAGCTAATTATGTGAAGCTAATTATGTGAAGCTAATTATGTGAAGCTAAGGAGGCAATCTTCAAAGCGCTGTGACGTCACTAACGCTGATTTTTGGGTTGGGGGCATTGCAAACTGCAAAAATAGCAACCTTTTCTTGCGCTCATTTGGCTGAGCAAACAATGTTTTCAGCACTGTGCAGCTACATTTACTTTCAGTTCGATTAAAAGCTTTTAGTCTGATTCCTTATTTGAGTGCAGTTTGATCTGTTTTCTTTTTTTTTTCTTACATAATTAAGGATATGGAGGAACAAGAGAAGGATGTGGAATTTCTACGCGGCCTCTTGACCCGCAAAATGGAAACTGGCGAAGATGTTGTCCTTCAATCCGATCGAGCAGCTGTTCTGCGTAATGTAGATTGCCCAAAGGCTCAAATTCATTTCATTATTTTGCCCAAGCAGGATATTGCGTATGTGACTGCGGTGAATATACATATTATATATATATATATGTTATATGTTCCAAAAATAATTGTTTCTTGCTCCAGCTAACGCCCAAACACTTGCCTCTGCTAGAACATATGATGGAGCTGGCCAATCAGATAATTGAGAAAGAAGAATTGCCTTCGAGCAATTTTCGGGTTGGCTTCAAGATAAATCCATTTATGAATCGTTTAAATATGCATGTGATTTCCGATGACTTCTGTTCGGAGTACATGCGGCGCATTAACCAGTGGAATACCTTCAACAGTGACTTGTGACAGTGACAGTGACCGATGTGATTGAGAAATTGCGGAGGGCGACCCCAGTGCATTGCAATCAATGCACTTTTATCACTGGCAATTTTGAGAAGTTTAAGGCGCATTTGGATTACCATTGGAGCAAACGAGAAGGGGAGCGAGAGCGTCTTCTCAGAATGGGCGTGTCAAATTTGACGCCATCGTTGGGCGAATTGCATTTGAATGGCACTCGCAGCAACTTTTGCGGAGCTGCTCAACCGAAGCAATTTCCATTTACCTTGCATTCGAATGTGAAAGCGCTGCCTCTACGCCATCAGCCAGGAATACTTGGTTCTTATCCCCCAAGATCCCTCAATATGAATTATCAGAAATCTAACCACAGCCCATCGAGCCACAAACACCCAGATTATAAGCCAATTAAGCAGGTTGTAAAAGAATCTCAGAAAACAAATGCAAATCAGGCTGGTGACCCTCCATCAAATGCTAATGCCAAACAAACTGTGGATCAGGCTCAAGATCAGCCAGTCAAAACAAAGCCATTTGTCAACAAAAAGAAATAGTATAACAAAAACAAAAAGCCCGCCTTGCTAAAGTACCAGGAATCCTGTGGAAATGGCAAAACATCTGCTGATGGCTAAAACTATTTTAATTAAAAACTTATATACATATACATATATATTTACTATATATATACATATATTTACTTGACGAACATTTTATTCAACACATTATTATTTTAATATATATTATAAAATATAATATAATATATATTAATATATATATATTTTTTTATAAAATAACCAAAAAATAAACATTCTAAAACGTATTTCCTAAAAATATATTTTCAGTTGAATTTTGGGGAAAATATATGTAACTTAATTTTACAAAACTACAAATTTAATTGTAATTGTTTACGCTTCTTCTTCATCGCTTGAAATATACAATAAATCTGCCTGTTTCTGCTATACATAATTTTTTATTTTGGTTTTAATTCTGTGCTAAATAATGTTTTATTTTGTGCCTTTTATTAGTGCTGTGACTTTGTCAAATCTTTGTTTAACAACAACAACTAACAATCAGGCTTGACTTGCGTAGTTGCATCGTTATTCTGCTAATATTTAGTTTTTGTATTTTATTTTTATTCCTTATCTTGGTTTTTTGTAGATATTTTCTGCGTTATGCTCTCTCTTCATTTCTCTCTCTCTCTCGCTTTTCGTTCCCGTTGCGATTCAAACTTTGCATCCGCTCATTTAACATTTGTCTAACATTGTTGTTGTGTGCTGGATAACATCCGTAATTTGTCAACCCTTTTATTTCATATACTTTTACTTCTTATTTTATTTATTTAAAAAAATTTCTAACTTAGCAATAAGTACTATGAATAATGTCTTATTATAGCATTAAACTAGGCGTTCGACTCGAGTCATCTTCATTCCTCGATTACTTTTTGCAGTGATCTTTACAAATTTATTTATTTATTTTTGTAATTAGCTAAAATGTTTTCAAAATATATGCTACATTAAATATTCCAATTTATTTTAATTTTTTTAATCTGATGTAGCGAAAAATACCAAGCATCCAATCAATGAAATAATTGTTTTTGATATTGTACTTCAATCAAAATTCAATATAATACGAGTATATATCTAATATAGTACAATATATAAAATGGTAAACTGTGTATATCAATTTTATTTATTTATTTATTTTATGGGTAACAGCGATTTCCTACCAGGTAATACAAAACTGTTTTATGTAGCTACATTTGCCTCAAATTTGTTGTTCTTGTCGAATGAGTAGGTTAAACGCGATTTCAGCTAATTATGTGAAGCTAATTATGTGAAGCTAATTATGTGAAGCTAAGGAGGCAATCTTCAAAGCGCTGTGACGTCACTAACGCTGATTTTTGGGTTGGGGGCATTGCAAACTGCAAAAATAGCAACCTTTTCTTGCGCTCATTTGGCTGAGCAAACAATGTTTTCAGCACTGTGCAGCTACATTTACTTTCAGTTCGATTAAAAGCTTTTAGTCTGATTCCTTATTTGAGTGCAGTTTGATCTGTTTTCTTTTTTTTTTCTTACATAATTAAGGATATGGAGGAACAAGAGAAGGATGTGGAATTTCTACGCGGCCTCTTGACCCGCAAAATGGAAACTGGCGAAGATGTTGTCCTTCAATCCGATCGAGCAGCTGTTCTGCGTAATGTAGATTGCCCAAAGGCTCAAATTCATTTCATTATTTTGCCCAAGCAGGATATTGCGTATGTGACTGCGGTGAATATACATATTATATATATATATATGTTATATGTTCCAAAAATAATTGTTTCTTGCTCCAGCTAACGCCCAAACACTTGCCTCTGCTAGAACATATGATGGAGCTGGCCAATCAGATAATTGAGAAAGAAGAATTGCCTTCGAGCAATTTTCGGGTTGGCTTCAAGATAAATCCATTTATGAATCGTTTAAATATGCATGTGATTTCCGATGACTTCTGTTCGGAGTACATGCGGCGCATTAACCAGTGGAATACCTTCAACAGTGACTTGTGACAGTGACAGTGACCCGATGTGATTGAGAAATTGCGGAGGGCGACCCCAGTGCATTGCAATCAATGCACTTTTATCACTGGCAATTTTGAGAAGTTTAAGGCGCATTTGGATTACCATTGGAGCAAACGAGAAGGGGAGCGAGAGCGTCTTCTCAGAATGGGCGTGTCAAATTTGACGCCATCGTTGGGCGAATTGCATTTGAATGGCACTCGCAGCAACTTTTGCGGAGCTGCTCAACCGAAGCAATTTCCATTTACCTTGCATTCGAATGTGAAAGCGCTGCCTCTACGCCATCAGCCAGGAATACTTGGTTCTTATCCCCCAAGATCCCTCAATATGAATTATCAGAAATCTAACCACAGCCCATCGAGCCACAAACACCCAGATTATAAGCCAATTAAGCAGGTTGTAAAAGAATCTCAGAAAACAAATGCAAATCAGGCTGGTGACCCTCCATCAAATGCTAATGCCAAACAAACTGTGGATCAGGCTCAAGATCAGCCAGTCAAAACAAAGCCATTTGTCAACAAAAAGAAATAGTATAACAAAAACAAAAAGCCCGCCTTGCTAAAGTACCAGGAATCCTGTGGAAATGGCAAAACATCTGCTGATGGCTAAAACTATTTTAATTAAAAACTTATATACATATACATATATATTTACTATATATATACATATATTTACTTGACGAACATTTTATTCAACACATTATTATTTTAATATATATTATAAAATATAATATAATATATATTAATATATATATATTTTTTTATAAAATAACCAAAAAATAAACATTCTAAAACGTATTTCCTAAAAATATATTTTCAGTTGAATTTTGGGGAAAATATATGTAACTTAATTTTACAAAACTACAAATTTAATTGTAATTGTTTACGCTTCTTCTTCATCGCTTGAAATATACAATAAATCTGCCTGTTTCTGCTATACATAATTTTTTATTTTGGTTTTAATTCTGTGCTAAATAATGTTTTATTTTGTGCCTTTTATTAGTGCTGTGACTTTGTCAAATCTTTGTTTAACAACAACAACTAACAATCAGGCTTGACTTGCGTAGTTGCATCGTTATTCTGCTAATATTTAGTTTTTGTATTTTATTTTTATTCCTTATCTTGGTTTTTTGTAGATATTTTCTGCGTTATGCTCTCTCTTCATTTCTCTCTCTCTCTCGCTTTTCGTTCCCGTTGCGATTCAAACTTTGCATCCGCTCATTTAACATTTGTCTAACATTGTTGTTGTGTGCTGGATAACATCCGTAATTTGTCAACCCTTTTATTTCATATACTTTTACTTCTTATTTTATTTATTTAAAAAAATTTCTAACTTAGCAATAAGTACTATGAATAATGTCTTATTATAGCATTAAACTAGGCGTTCGACTCGAGTCATCTTCATTCCTCGATTACTTTTTGCAGTGATCTTTACAAATTTATTTATTTATTTTTGTAATTAGCTAAAATGTTTTCAAAATATATGCTACATTAAATATTCCAATTTATTTTAATTTTTTTAATCTGATGTAGCGAAAAATACCAAGCATCCAATCAATGAAATAATTGTTTTTGATATTGTACTTCAATCAAAATTCAATATAATACGAGTATATATCTAATATAGTACAATATATAAAATGGTAAACTGTGTATATCAATTTTATTTATTTATTTATTTTATGGGTAACAGCGATTTCCTACCAGGTAATACAAAACTGTTTTATGTAGCTACATTTGCCTCAAATTTGTTGTTCTTGTCGAATGAGTAGGTTAAACGCGATTTCAGCTAATTATGTGAAGCTAATTATGTGAAGCTAATTATGTGAAGCTAAGGAGGCAATCTTCAAAGCGCTGTGACGTCATTAACGCTGATTTTTGGGTTGGGGGCATTGCAAACTGCAAAAATAGCAACCTTTTCTTGCGCTCATTTGGCTGAGCAAACAATGTTTTCAGCACTGTGCAGCTACATTTACTTTCAGTTCGATTAAAAGCTTTTAGTCTGATTCCTTATTTGAGTGCAGTTTGATCTGTTTTCTTTTTTTTTTCTTACATAATTAAGGATATGGAGGAACAAGAGAAGGATGTGGAATTTCTACGCGGCCTCTTGACCCGCAAAATGGAAACTGGCGAAGATGTTGTCCTTCAATCCGATCGAGCAGCTGTTCTGCGTAATGTAGATTGCCCAAAGGCTCAAATTCATTTCATTATTTTGCCCAAGCAGGATATTGCGTATGTGACTGCGGTGAATATACATATTATATATATATATATGTTATATGTTCCAAAAATAATTGTTTCTTGCTCCAGCTAACGCCCAAACACTTGCCTCTGCTAGAACATATGATGGAGCTGGCCAATCAGATAATTGAGAAAGAAGAATTGCCTTCGAGCAATTTTCGGGTTGGCTTCAAGATAAATCCATTTATGAATCGTTTAAATATGCATGTGATTTCCGATGACTTCTGTTCGGAGTACATGCGGCGCATTAACCAGTGGAATACCTTCAACAGTGACTTATTCATCACTTATCAGGCCGTATACGCCCTGCTGCTGACCAAAGGCTACATTGAGCCCTTGTCCGCCGATGTGATTGAGAAATTGCGGAGGGCGACCCCAGTGCATTGCAATCAATGCACTTTTATCACTGGCAATTTTGAGAAGTTTAAGGCGCATTTGGATTACCATTGGAGCAAACGAGAAGGGGAGCGAGAGCGTCTTCTCGGAATGGGCGTGTCAAATTTGACGCCATCGTTGGGCGAATTGCATTTGAATGGCACTCGCAGCAACTTTTGCGGAGCTGCTCAACCGAAGCAATTTCCATTTACCTTGCATTCGAATGTGAAAGCGCTGCCTCTACGCCATCAGCCAGGAATACTTGGTTCTTATCCCCCAAGATCCCTCAATATGAATTATCAGAAATCTAACCACAGCCCATCGAGCCACAAACACCCAGATTATAAGCCAATTAAGCAGGTTGTAAAAGAATCTCAGAAAACAAATGCAAATCAGGCTGGTGACCCTCCATCAAATGCTAATGCCAAACAAACTGTGGATCAGGCTCAAGATCAGCCAGTCAAAACAAAGCCATTTGTCAACAAAAAGAAATAGTATAACAAAAAC